TAGTATATGTGTATTTGTAATAATATGCTTCTAATTAATAACAATGATATCGTCCAGCAACAAATTCCCTATTTTTAATAAATTATTTTCCATATTGGTTGAACTGTTGTCACAATTGTTACTTAAAATCTACTATAATTTCGTTTCATTATTTAAGTATAATTTTTATACTACATCAAAATAAAACGAAACTTAATTGATTGTAATAATATTCTACATGTGTTAGATTGATGTGGACAATGTTATCTCTCAATACGCATTCAAATAAAGCTTGTTTCTGATATTGCTGTTTCCACATGTCTTGCTATTGAAATCATGCGAAGTGACAGGTCAAATCATCTTTTTCAATTACTATCGATTGACTTTCTATCAAAATGTATTCCCGGGAGATGCCATTCCAACTTTAATAACAAAAACTTATTATATCAAAACATGGTAACGAATGAGAAAGTTCCTTTAATGTTCATAGCACTGAGCATTCCTATATAATACACAAAAGCGCCGTATTTCAAACATTAAATCTTCAAAATAATTTACATCTTTTATTCTAAGACTTCAAAACGCATCAGACTTCCAGATACCGGGTTGTTAAATTAGCCCGTGTTTTTAAATTAAATTGAATGCATTCTTTGGAAATGTCTGTCAATGTCTAAAATATAGATTAATTATAAGTCGTATACATTGAAGCCTGAAACGTATGTCAAGGAGTTCATAGCGGCGGTGGCTCGCTAACCTGTAGTTCCCTGGTTCGATTCCGGTGTTGGATGAGAAAGTGCCTCGGGATTCTCCCCCCCCCCCATTGTCAGCGGTGCATGATGGATCACAAGGCAAGGAACAGTGTCTAGTCGTTTGGGTAGTACTAAAAACCGAGGTCCCGTGTACACGTTGGTGTGCACGAAAAATGACCCCTGGCAGTTGAAATTCGTACTTATAGCAGGATATAGCGCAGCTGTCCGGGCAAAATCCTCTTCACAGCATACTACCCGGGGGTTGGGGGGGGGGAAAAAAGTTGGACGTTAAACAGCATTTCATTTCCGAAAACTCCAGTAAAGGCCCTAAGCATGCAGACCAATTATTGGAATTTTGATATGTGGTCAGTCTGTACTTGCTTTATAACGTTGAGAGAATACTCTTGGAAACGCCGTGTAAATAAATCAGCAATTGTTCATCCATAAGTATAAGTTATAGTTTTTGCTTTATCCAGTTACTAAATGAACCTAAAGGATTATCTGTAGTTTTTTTGAATATTATATAACATTATAAATCTGTTTGCTTGTTAAAAGTGAGAATGCATATTTAAATAACAGACACAAATAATAAGTAAACTGTCTTTCTCTGGTACAAGTAGAAAAAAATGTTCTGGGGTCAAGAAAATAAGAGATTAAATTGCTTCCATTATTGCTTGTAATACAATGAAATGAGTAGCAAGTGTCTTTGTATCTTGAAGCTCTTTAAGATGTCTTCTGTCTGAATATCGGGCACATTTATTTGATCATAACTAAGCCGCGAGATTAAAAAATGTTCATATATTGAGACCTATCAAGAAATCAATTAATCGAAACAAAAAATAATAAAACCTCCTTTACACTAAGCTTTGTGTGTGGTGCACTAGTTACTCTCTCTCTGTGTCGCCATGTTTCTTCTTAAGGGATTATATAGATTTTTGTGGTTGAATTTGTAGGTAATCCACGTCTGGTTTATTGACTAAACTTCCTTTTATATTAAACGTCTTATCTTCGGTGATTTCATTTTTGTTATTCTGCCTATGATGACCTAGTAACCCCAATGGCTGAAAGTTTAGATATTATAGTAGTTGATCCTATGTCGGGAGTTAAGTAAGGTATGATCCTTACGGAACTAATCGAAAAATGTTTCTCGTCACGAAAAAACGGTAATTTTTTGTATGGCTTTGTATTGGATATGATTTTTAGCTAATGGGAACCTATATTGAACTTTACTACAGGCGAAGCAAAAAGTTTGTTGTAGCCAAAACATGTATACAAATATAAATAATATACATTGATAATTAATAAAAGTATGAATAACAATAGAGTGTAAATATCCCCCACCTCTCTTAGTGCAAATTCACATCACTACCCTAAATACTTCGAAAAATATATATATATATACCGCTCCCACCCCATCGCCCCATGTTTGAATGGCCGCGATGTTTTGAATGGCAGACGTCGGAGAAGTCTCGTGGAGAAAAATACAAATTTTGATGAACATTTTTGCTAGAATTTTAATTATTACAATAGCTAAACTCATTTCTCAGCGATGTTACAGTTAAATTTAGAATATTCGGACAAAAGGCCAGGAAGGTTAGCTTTATGCAGGACCGAGTGTCTGGCAAGGAACAACGTATAGTCGGTCGGATGGGACAAAAAAACCTCAGGTCCCGTGTTCCACATAGCACACTTTATGTTGTTTGTCCGTCTTCATTAGCTCGATAGGAACAGGAGAGTGGGACGCTAAACCTCATTCCATTCATTCAGAGTATCTGTAATCAAAGGCAATTTTAATTGGTAACCACATTGAAACCAAACTACCATATCCTACCCAACACCGGGTTTCTTTGTATAAATTTCGTGCGCGCTGTATCATAAAGTCTGTCATTGAGTCAACTGGCGTGATTTCGATTCCCCGGTTGTACGTGACAACCTCGTGTGTTTTCTCCGGGTCCCCCGGTTTCCTCCAACTGCTAAAGACCCCTACGCGCAAGCGAATTATTGAAATAAGATTAAACCATATGTTAGTCCCGAAATGACCTAGTTTGTGTCGAGTGGACGTTAAACCCCCATCTCTCTCTCTCTCTCTCCCCCCTCCCTGTCTCTCTGTCTCTGTCTCTCTCTTTCTCTCTTGTATTAATTTTATCGTCAATAATTATCAGATCACCCAGTTTTCTTCAACTGTAATAACCCTGTGTCTCGTTACAGTCATACGTCACGCCTATAAATTAGATGCCATCGTGAAAAACCGATTTTAGATCGTAACATTTTGGCAGACTTGGGAATTAACTGCGGTTGTATGATGGACATTTAATGGCTAGTTATAAGCAATTTATTGATACATATGGTTAATAAAGAAAGTGTTCGTTTTAACCTTTAAGATGCCTATCGTTACTTGTTAGTGATTAATGGCCTGGCTTACTGTCTTATTTCCTCCCAAGTGAAATTAACAAGAAGTATATGTGTTAGTAGGCTGTGAATTGTAATTTATTTCTATGTAACAAACATACGATCATAAGACAGAAAGTACGTGTTACGGAGAGCATCATTGTAATGTACAAGCAATCGGGGAATCGAAACCATGCCGCTTGACTCTATAACACACCTTAGACTACGTCTTAGACCATAATGATTTTACCAATTATAACAGTGTTATTATTAACGTTACGCAAATCAACCTCGATCAGTTTAAATACATTAATTAGAAGTTAGATTTCATTCAAGATTAGTTGCATGAAGGGTCATCATTAAATAAATATTGTTTTTCTTTACACGCCAATTACTCCTTTACAAAAACCTCATGCCGTTATAGATCGTGTACAAAGTTTTGCTAACAGGGGGAAAAAACTGCATACAATCGATGTTCCATCCGAATGATTAGACGATTTCCATTACCAGGCTCTCCTTCCTACATTACTAACTATGGAAAACCAGACATGTTACCCGGTGCCTCCTGGTTCGCGGGAACCATGATACTCACAACAACGCTTTATCATTAGAAAAGGTAATTGCTTTGCTAGTCTGACGATACACTGTTCAATTACCAACCGACTTTTTATTGTGTAAAAGATGACGGTATGATAAGCAATTTGTGTGGTAATAAGGACATTTACAAAACTGTCTGGATCAATTTTCTTTAATAAATCATATATTATACATGATTCTAGCGACGTTCTACATATTCCATATTTTATAAGCGTAGACATGTTCAAAAATACAATGGTATGAAAACAAAATGAACTAGAGGAGAACTTAATTATAATGAAATAGTAATTAAATTAAAGTATGACAATATCAAGTAAGTTGATTGATATGTTGGTGTATAATTTTGTTAGATCGACTTCATAGTATTTGTTTTTCAATCTAAGGTTATTAGAAATTACATGAATTTACAAATATAACCTACAGTATCTGTGTCATGAATACTTAATTTGTTATTGACCCAGTGGGCAATCGTCAGCCTTTCTTAATCAGTCCAGTTAAAGAATGTTTTGGAAACATTTAATATGGATCCTCTCCCCAACCTATGTGTAATTGACCCGGTGTCGTAACTGGTTGGTATATGTTAAAGGGTGGGCGAAAACAAGAAGTGAACCACTCTTCCCAATACCATAAAAATGTAGGTTTCGAATAGCTTACATACACGTCTGGTTTGATTCTGTGCTTTCCGTAATGCTAATATATCGTCATTTATAGAGTGCGTTCATACTGAAGAACAGTTTTTTAAGGCGCTTTTGGTTGTGATATTCGCTGATTATGTCATATTCCTTAACCTTGGAAGACATAAATGTGTCTGACATATCATATTTCGCTAATATGAAAACCATGTTTCGATCCAAGCTAACCAGAAGCTCGGGTGTAAATTCAATCTTTAGGGATTTCTGCTCTATTAACAATATAGATAAACAGAATTTGAAATTTTGTATAGTCCTTAAGAATAAGAGTGACAGATATAAACACAATCCACATAATTTCAGCTGGACTGTTAGTCACACTTAATAGACAAAACAACCAATTTCATTATTATTTAAAATATAAATTAGTGATTCAATGTTGCAACCAGGCTTAAACAACCTAAAAGCTATCCGCAGACTACCGCCGATTCGGGACATTCTATTAGAGAGATGACCGTCGTCATTGGTTCTCCCACATAGTTTTCGTTTTTCGGGTTTTTGTTACCGGGGAAGGCCTTGTGTATTGAATTACAGTTATTCCGACAATATTTTATACTTATTAAACAACTTTCTAACCACTCGACTACCACAGCCCTGAATGTTATGTGTTCAGTGTCTTTATCTTTTATTTCAGATACCCCAGCTGACGTTTGTCTCTGTGATGTTTGTATTTATTGTTATTGGGAACTGTAGCGTTTTAGCTGCTATACAATTATCAAAGAATGGACGAAAAACACGCATGAACTTCTTCATAATGCATTTAGCCATTGCTGGTAAGAACAATCTGATTAAAACACAGATCCTATTTCGTTTCGTTTTTTAAAGTTAAAATTTTCGTTTTACTGTTTTTCAAGGGAACTCATCGAAAGTATTAAAAAGAACGAAACGAAATATAAATCTCTAGCTTAGGATTGGAATTGGTTTAGATTGGTTTTTGTATTATTTTACTAAATTGACAATCAGCAATGAAATTAAAATCTTATTTGACTGAAATTGGTATTTTACTTTAATAAAAATCAAATGGTTAGATTCGACAAGTCAAAATAATCGTTTTGCGGTGACATGGGACTTACATTAGTCGGATTACATTCTCTTCCAAGATCAGTTAATATCGTTTCAAAACGGTTTGGGAATTCGTAATGCCAACAATTACGGTCGTGTTTATATACAATAATCGTGTATTGGAAAACCAAATTCAATATAGAGTCGAACATGGCGACAATAATTTATATACATGTATACTGCTGATAACAATTGAACCAACGCGATTACAACAACATCCAATTAGTAGCGGTGGGTTTTCCTCGAGAAATTATTTTAATCATATCATTTTATATGTTACAGATTTATTGGTAGGAATAATATGTGTATCAACTGACCTTATGTCAAAGATAACAGTCGAATGGCATGCTGGAAACGCCATTTGTAAAATACTCCAGTATTTACAGGTAAGTATTTAGCAGTGCCATAAATGATATTCCTTTTGTTGTGCACTAATCGGGCTAAAGAAGATGATGGACATACACCATGCAGTGTGCTATTATATGGACATTTTGCCCAGGTAGCGACGCTAGGAACTACTCTCCGTTTCGTACTATCCAAACGACAAGACAATCTCCATCGAGCATCACGCTGGAAAATCCTGGACAGCGACGCTACGGCCTACTCTAATATCGAATTCCAAAAACCAATGGTTCTGTTACGTGCAAACCATTGTGTACAGGGATCTCGGTCTTCCGTCAATATATTATATCCTCTGCGTTCCAGTCTATAGTTTCTCTTGTGATCGTAAAGGGAGTTCACCTAGATAGCGATGACAGATTATAGAATCAACGTTTACAATCTTTCTATACGCCTGTACTAAATTTAAATTTGTTTTCGTGACTTCCTTGTTGGAATAAGTACATCTTGGAAGATTAGAAAAACACTTCTAAAATGAAAATTCGACACACACACAATAATTAACTTTTACCGATGTACTAAAAATTTCGCCATTATGAACCTTGGTGGCGCCATATTGAAAGCTTTGTTAGAATTAACGGATTCCTTAATTAAGGTTATATCACTAAGTTTGTTTCATTATGCACCCCATAGTCAAGAATTAATGTTTAAGGCATGTCAATGCAGAAGTACAACAAATGTTAGCCATATATGTGAACTCAACAAACGAAAAGTATAATCAGGTTTTCAAGAAAGCTTGACCACACCCAACCTCGTGCACGACATTCGTAACTACCCACACACAAGAGGAGAACATACCTGGAAGGACACCGGCTTTAAGATCATCGATGGTTTAATTACAGATGTACAAAACGCATACCCGGCACGACAAGCATCTCTACATTGGCCAGTTCTAACGAACCTTTAAGTTACAAATCTTGTGTCTCACCATATTGTCATTTAATGAACAATAGAATATGATTAAGGGGCGTATGACTCTAAACTTCGGAACCTTAAATGGACCTAAAAGCACATATTAATGTAATACGAATGTATGTAAAGTGATTTATTGTAATTTCTAATCAATTACGTTCGGTGAAATACGTGAACAGTCCAATTTGAACGAAAGTCGTTTACATCTGCTTAGTCCATTCTACACGTTTTTGTTTTGTTTTTTTTTGTTTTTTTTTTAAAAATATTATTTTGTTGTTTGTGGATCATTCATTACTAATTACTTCAGCATTGTGTTATAGGATATGTTTTTCTTTGTCGATTACAGATGGCACTCGAAACCACAGAGTACACGACTCGTGTACTGATTTTAAAATGGTCATTGTTTCTTAAATATTGGATATTAGGATCCCATATTTTTCATATCAAGATAACAACATCAATGTCGATTGAAATGGACCAATATTGAATTCTAATTCGTATTTTTAATTTCTAATAATAATGATATTATGGAAAATATTGAATTAGAGATTTAGCTCCTTTAAACAAAAAACAAAAAAAAAATTAAAAAAAATAATAATAACTTTCAACTTAACATGTTTTTCATCGTTCTGATTGATTACGTTTTCTCTGCTTTATAGCTCTAGGCGGTTCGACTTTTTATTGACAATAATATAAACTGCAAGAAACCCCTGAAATAGGCATTATGCACCCAATGGCATTAAATCTAATTAAGATTACTCATAAAACTTGATACTGACACCGTGGCAGGTGTAAACTTTCCAATATAATTAAGTTTTTTTTGTAATTAATGTGATGTTATTTCTTTTTATACAATATAAATTGTCATGGGTATTGCAATCTATATGTTTGAGCAATATATCTCAGTTTCTACGTTTTTATCCTTATTTTCGTGTTTGTTTTATATTATCATTTTTAGCTTCAAATGGTGTAGGAAACAAAAACTACTTCATATTTTAAAAGGATAATTACCAAACTGAATTCTCATTTACTGTGCTGAATGGATTCTGGAAACAATTTTTATAACAAATAAAACAGAAAATCGATTAAAGATCTTACATATTCCAGGTTAAAAAGAAAAGAAATGTATATCTGCAATTTCGTAGCTTTAAAAGCCAGAGCACACCTGGGGTTATTTTTTCTCAGACATACCGATTTGTTATCGAAGACATTTCTATACGTATTTGTTCTCTGTTGCCCCTTTCACTTTGTCTTTTATTATTTCCTGCTGCCCTTCTGTGTCCATATTTTGCTGACTCGCTTTTGTTATTGTGTTGTTTGTCCTGTATCGCCTTTGTTCCTGCCTTGTTTGTCCTGTCAATCAATTGTTCCTGCGTTGTCTAGTATGTCCCTACTTCCATCGCGTGATGTTTGTCCTGCCTCTGCTGTGTCCATAATTTGTTTGTCCTATATCTTCTGTGTTTCTATTTTTGTTGTCGGGCCTGTCTCTTGTTGTCTAGTCTGTCCCTACACGTGTCATGATGTTTGTTCTGTCTTTACTTTGTTCCTTGATGTGTGTTCTGTCTTTACTTTGTTCCTTGATTTTGTTCTGTCTTTACTTTGTTCCTTGATGTTTTTTCTATCTTTACTTTGTCCATTTTATGTTTGTCCTGTCCTTTACTTTGTTCATGTGATGTTTGTCCTTTACTTTGTTCATGTGATGTTTGTCCTTTACTTTGTTCATGTGATGTTTGTTCTTTACTTTTTGTGTGTGATGTTTGTCCTGCCATTACTTTGTCTGATTTTGTCCTGCCATTACTTTGCTTGTGTGATGTTTGTCCTGCCATTACTTTGTTTGTGTGATTCTACTGTGATGTTTGATCTGCTCGTGCTGTCTGTACATGTATTCTGCACCACACAAAGATTAATTATATATATAATATTGTATGTTTATATTTACAGGCTATTGTTACCTATTCATCGACATTTGTTTTGGTGTCTTTAAGTATAGATAGATATGATGCTGTGGCTAGACCCATGAACTTCTCTAGAAGTGGTAAGTTGTTTCATATTTATAATAGGACCTCTTTGATCTGGGTCAAAAACGAAATTGTTCTAAGATAAAATTCTGTCTTCGTTAAAAATAATTATGTCTCTAGGTATAACTGAGGTAGATATGGACAAATGAATACATTTAAAAACTCAGTCAAATTACTTGATTATGAGCGAAGTTATTAATGTTTGAAAGTTTTGACCAGATATAGCCCAAATAGTCTCAATTGTCCAGTACCGTGAGTGTTGTCAATTTGAACGCTTAACACTAATATAACAGACACTGTCTAATCCTCTCAATATCTTAGCCATCCGATCTACAGAGTTGATCATTGGGTTATCTTGTTAATAACTATATTTAAATAATAATTTATACAACCGGTATTAGGCAGCTTCAAGGCTTTCACATAATAAAACTTAGTTTTCTAACATAATGCATATTGCTATTATAATTATTTTAATCTATCAATTATAACCGAGTTAAAGATGACTAGCTAAAGTATCTATTACTTTCTGTTGTATGTATGCCACCGATATTTCATATCTATCCAAGAACAATTAGCTCAACGGGGTATCTAATTCTAACACACTTTTTTAAAAAAAAAAAGAATATCTAGATTACTGTCCAAAGAACACTTTAAAGGCTTTAAAACTTATACCTACTTGAAATTATTTATTACCTTGGAAATGAAACAAAATTTTAGTTTTCCAATTTCATTTCACTCCCAGACATAAAAAAAAACACGATTAAATCAATACTCGGCGTTATATCTTTCATAGGGTAATAGGATACAGACAATGACAGCAAAATCAAAACGATCCTGATCTGTCGTCCCTTGGGGCACTTCGGCCTCTTCTGAATTGATTTACATTTAGAAGAAAAGTTCCAAGAGTAGTATATACCGCTGTTTTAGCTGTAAAAGGAAACCGGACGGTATGAGACACCATATTCAAATACACATCATACTAACTTTATCATAAAAAAAACCCACATGTGACATCCACAAATCCAGTTCTGTTCAAAATTAATCTAAAACATTATATTAGATTGAACGAAATAGATATGAGTCCATTGAGAGAGAGAGAGAGAGAGAGAGAGAGAGAGGGGTAACGTCTACGCGACACAAACTATGTCATTTCGGGACTAACACATGGTTCAATTTTATTTCTATAATTCGCTTGCGCGTAATAGTCTTTAGCAGTCGGGGGAAACCGGAAGACCCGAAGAAAACCCACGAGGTTGAACAGGCGACCCTACTCCTTGTCACGTACAACCGGAGAATTGAAACCACGCCAGTTGACTCAATGACAGACTTTATGATACAGCGCACACGTGCTAACCATTCGGCCATCCACCCCCTCCCCCTACAAGATATTCGAACTTGTATGAGATTAGCATTCACAAGTCACGGTATCCGTAAATGCCTAGCCATAGGCGAATGATGATCAGATTTCTGAATTGTGAGAGGAACTCAAGCTGGTGCTTTCGTCCTAGTACACAAGTGCCCGAGGTCGGTTCCGTGTGTTATGCGCAAGGCACGTTGCTAGATAGGGCCCGAATCTCTAGACCTTGAACCGAACAGCATCGATGTAGATTGAATAGATGATTGCTATCTGTGCCATTCAGCGCTTATCTGACCATCTATTCATGCTCCTTTTGTACGTTGTGCCATAGTTCATATCTAGTAGAGTCCCCTGTAACAGTATTGCGATTTCTCGGGCAGCCTTTCCGTCGTCATTTTCTACGCCGAATTTGTTCTTTTATCTGACTGATCTCTTCCGGCAAGCTTCGTCGGAAACACTTGTTGGGATATCACCCAAGGTGGAAGCGGACGTGAACCCCTATTATACTAACCTGCATGCCTATCGACAATATGTAAAGTGGTCACTATGATAATTCAGAAATTTCGATGTTAATAATTCCACATGAACTATTATTTTATAATCAACATGCTCTTACATGTCACATAAATCGAGAAACTTTATCCTTCAATCTGATGATATGAGTATGTTCTTGCATACAGATGGAAAATTAACTTTGAGAAAATCGTTACCATGTTAGTGTCGGAAACTACTCAATGTTCAAATTAAATTTGTTACTATCTGAGCTTGTTTATCACGTCACAGAAATTACCTCCTGTAGGCAAATTTTTACCCTTGAAAACATTTTAACCTTTTTACAGAAACGATATCACCCGAATTCTTACTTTCTGTAAAATAAGAATCTTTATGGAAGTATCTTATCGATAGTAACACTCACTAATGTTAAATGTAATTTGAAATTAACGCGACAATATCGCTAACAAACACGCACGAAGTCCTACCAGCACAGGGCTGTTTATGTGGATTAAAATTCCCGAGCACAAATTCCGCCATTAATTCATAAAGAAACCAATTGATTGACACCCACATATTTTGTCGTGTTATCTACAGTTTAAAAATCCACTACATATTCAGTTTCAATGTCATTCAAATAGTATTTAGGGAAACAGTGACGCTTTAAAGAAGTGGGAAATAATCAAACGTCTGTCTCAGTAAAAGTACGGGAGCCTGGGTGGCTCAGTGAGTAAGACGTTGGTTCGTTAACCGGAGGTCTTGTGTTCGATCCTTCGACTGTTGGCCGAGGAAGTTCCTTGGAATTTTCCGGTGTGATTCCCTCTTGTCAGTGGTGCAGGGCAGAACGCCTGGCAAGAGACATCCTATAGTTGTTCTGATTTGAAGAAAATCCGCGGTTCCGCGTACACTTTGGTGTGAACTTAAAAGAACCCTTGACAGTTGGAATTCGAAATAACCGTAGGCCGTAGCTGTCTGGGCAAAATTTACCCAATAACACACTGTATGGCGCATTGCCGTCATCATTAGTTCAAATCAATTTTGCACCAGTAAAAGTACAAAAGCACCAAGCGAATAATTCAAACAGATGCACACATATGTTTCAGAATTGAAATTGACAAAATCCTTACATGTCATCACTCGTCTGTCTAATAGGATTGTTTTTTACGCAGTCTGCATAATTCAGATTGTAATAATAATTTATTGTTCAATGCTCTTTTATTTTGCATATTTCATTCTGTACCTGCATTTTAAATTGTCATTTAATAACACCCATTTGATGGTCTAGGTCTGGGAGACACATTTAAATTAAATCTAATTGTTGGACAAGTTGTTTCGCAAATGACTATAATGTATTTCCATCTTCATTATAAATTAGCTGAGTTCCTTCGATTGTAAGGGTGGTGTGTGTATGTGTGTGTTGGTGGGTGATGCGTGTGTGGGAGGTGGGGAGGAGGCCTAACGCGCGTTAGATCACAAGGTCTGTCGTTGAGTCGTGTAACGTGGTTTTTAACTCAAGTTTGTATGTGGCATGGGGTAGGGCTCGCCGCGTTCCCCGTTTTACTCTCACTGCTAAGAGCCCGTGAGCGCACGTGAATTACTGAAATGAAGATATAGTTTCGAAATAACCCTGTTTGTGTAGATGGGTCGTTAAACTCACTCTCCATCAAATAATAACCGTTCGTCCTGCCCACTAACAGAAAATTAGGCTGGTAAACCCCGTGGAACTTTTTAGGCCGGCGTCGGGATCATACCCGGGACTTGATGGCTGTTGCCTCAGCGGCTTACCCACCGAACCACCGTGACTCCCTGGGTTTCAGTAGTTTGGTTTTGTAACACATTGGCAGTTCAAAGGCCAGATTATAGGTGGGACTAGAATCCCGATATAAACGAAGATAAATATTATATATAAAAATATTTATGTGTGACAAACGACGCTATCCAAAACAACAATAACTCGTGTTCGGGCCCATGCAAATGAGCTACTTTATTGGCTAATAAACGGCAAGCTGTTCTTCGACAGAGAAGTAACTGTTGCTAGAAATCAGAACGATGACTTGCAGAGATGGAAATCTAACAAAACATTGCGATAACTATGCAGAGAATTAAGACACTATCACAAAGGTCACCGCGATAAGTAGCAAGGGGCGGAGAAGTCTCTCTCTCTGTCCCTAAAACACCCATTTCAATATTATTACCGCCTAGAAGGGGATAATAATAACGAAATAAATCGGCCTATAAGGGGGTAAACAGCAACCCGTTTTTACCGTTCGGTAAATTTATGACCTCCATCAAATAGACCTAAAGGTCCACTTTCCAGAATATGCGTATATTATGGTATGATGCGTATGTTTTAGGCTCGGTTATTCATAATATCTTCCCCCATGATAGATGTCATAAATTTATCGAACAGTAAAAACGGCTTGAACGTTTACCTCCTTATAGGTCGACTTATTTCGTTATTATTATCCCCTTCTAGGCGGTAACAATATTGGATCTAGAACTTCCAATGTCACTACGCGTTTGAATAGTTCACATGGCTGGCTGTTGTACATGTCTATCCGCTACAAATTGATGTATAGCAGCATAGCAGTGCGGTAGATGTTAGGCAGTGTGTTATACGAACCATTAGACTAGTTCGTTCTTCATCCCTAATAGATAATTAGACACCTTTATTGAAAAACACTGTGAAACGTAATGGAAAAAAGTCTTTCAGGTTAAGTCTATTAGTTCTCAAAATTGGCGAGAGAAATTGAAATTCACGTAAATGACGAGGACCCGTTTACTCCGATTTTACATGCCATTAAAAGAGGTTTCGGTGGTTGTTGGTTTTTTTTGTTGGTTTGGGGTTTGTCGTTTGTTTTTTATTGGTTTGGGGTTTGTTGTTTGGGTTTTTTTTTTGGTTTTTTTAAATGGATATATTAAATGTACACAAAATATTGAAACAAAAGCAGTCTAGTAGCTAGAAACTGATCAAAATAGTTTATTCCGAGAATCCTTAACCATTGATAATATTGTTCAGCCTTTGCACATACTGATAAAGCCATTTAAATTCCCTGAAGTATTTATTCGTGCCCTTTGAAGGATAGTCTCCAATATTGACTTTTTAAATTCATAAAGCTAATGAAAATATACAACTAAAACAAATGGTATATAACTGAGTAGTTATCAAGTACTTTTATCGCTTTGTCTAAAAGCAATCTGGGTCATTGGGTTAAGGGAAGCTACGTAAAGTCTGTCGCAGTCTTCTAAATGCAAATGTTTGTCGGGCGGAATGAATTGTCCTTTTGTGATAAACAGTTGGTCAATATAAGAACGATTCTCCCAGTTATTTCACAAAAGGTCAAAATATAATTAAAGGGAGTATCCGTTGGTAATTAAAAAAAAATGTATGGTTTTTTTTGTTTTGTTTTTTTTTTAAAAAGGAGAATTGTTTGAAAGTCAAATTCAAGTGGCAATCAAACACATAAACGAACCCACGAAATGGGGAAATTTGGACACCCGTCATAGAAATGCTTTACCGAGTGCTTCTATATTTCCTTTGGTTGTGTCTGTTAGAAAATCAAATTTTGATTTGTCACAGTTTCTGGATGTTATTGTTCTTACTCCGCTTCTACCGAAGGTGATATCGTAGACAGGTTTTCTTATTTTCATTTCTAGTCGGAGGAAACCGGAGTACCCGGAGTAAACCCACGAGGTCTGAGAAAGCTCCCCTATCTCCAAGCCACCACATACGCTTACACTAGGGGTTCAAGCCAAAGGTGACCGGCCAGCTAGGGGTCGAAGCGTGGCACTCTGGACCACCAGGCCATCGTAAACCGCGCTGGTTTCTGGCTGAAAGCTATTTCTAATTAAGGGGTGTAACTACCGTTGTTCAAACAGGAGACAGACCACCAATTGCTTCCCACGAAGGCCGTTCCTAGTTTCTGTTATTTACAGATTGTAAACAAAATTGGTCATTCATAAAATTATTTATTAGTCTTGGCCAAGTCTATTTTGGTATGAGATGTGATTAATGTATATTATGTTTCATGGTCGACTTAAATTATTTACAAACGCATTAACACCTGTTGTAATAATGATAATAATCGCGATTAGAAAACCAAACGTTAATTACCGTTACTAGTTATTAGAATTGTTTTTAGCCACGATAGGTAAATGATTGTACTTCCAACAGGCACTAACCCAGCTGGAAGTCTAGGAGTTATTGCCATTAGTTTACTCACAGGAGTTAATGACAGACGGAAAATGTCTCTTTCAATGACTGCACCCTCAATAAATGATAATCACTATCAGAGAGAGAGAGAGAGAGAGAGAGAGAGAGAGGGACAAATACATGCCGAAATTTAAAAGGCCAGTCAATCAGTCAGTGTTGTTCACTATCAAAATTCTATTTTAAGCCGTTGATTTTAAATATCGCTCTGTTTAAAGCGACTTACAAACTAACAGTTTTCATGGATGCTTGGCGATCAGCGTACACACCTACCCTATCATTTGTGTATGATAAACATAAATCTGTAAGTTTGTGGAATACCCATGGTGGTTCGTTAAACCCACAGAGAGGGGAACCTATAGCCACACCAAAAGACAATCGATATCGATATCAAATCCTTATCTAAGTTACTTAATCTAATTTAAAAAGTTATTTTAGCCATCATTTTCAAGCTGCCTTGTATTTTGATATCGAAGGTAAATAGATTATTGCCATACATTTTAGTGTGGCTTTTTAAAATCCGTCCCTTTAAGTTCTCAAATATACTCAATAAGCTGCAACCATTCAGAAAGACCTTTACAACACTTATTAAGCCATCTGTCTTGTTTGTCCAGTCATCTTTGGCTTACGATCCCTTTTGAACATAAGCATAAATCGAGCTTCTTTGAGTACAACTTAAGCCAGTATTATTTACAGACATGATTCAGCCGTTGTTGAAACCTAATCTATAATTATTTGACAAGATGGGCTAAAGTGTAAAAATTGGATAACCATGCTAGTTTCCAGAATCGAAAATAATGTTAAAAACAATCAGATCACATGTCCTTGAAAGGGAGTGAAAAAAAATGAGTTACTACAGCAATACATCAACTTATTCACACCATTTCCAGGATCAACACCATTATATTTTACAGAAATCAACTTTATCATTAACTGAAGCGAAATCCCCTGATCATTTAAATGACAGAAGCGCCAAGAGATAAAACTGCGATTAATAGATTTTATTATAATTTCTTTCGTCATCTGTCTAATCTGATTTCGGTTGACATTTCATAATCGCATTATGATGTGGAATGAATTATTTGATTTTAAGACGGTTTAAAGCACACCGTTCACCGACTTAAACGTGAGGATGAAAATAAGAACTGACAAAAACTATAATTGACAGGAAAATATAGATAAAATATTTTTTTTAATGTTATAAAGAAACGAAAAATAGGTATATTTGTTTCTTGATATTTGGCTTTTTATAAATATAGTGGTCATATTGAGGTAAACGCCAGCTATATCCGCTATTTACCCCCCCCCTCCCCTACCATTTCCCTTTCTTTGATTGGAAGTACAGGATTACAGGATATAGTTATAAAAGGCTGGTGTTGACACTTTGTTTAGTCTCGACATACAGCAAGACCGAAACAAACATTGAGAGAAATGGGGTTTAACGTCCACACGACACAAACTAGGTCATTTCGGGACTAACATATGGTTCGATTATTTTACTTCAATAATTCGCTTGTGCGTTGGGGTCTTTAGCAGTTGGAGGAAGCCGGAGGTCCCGGAGAAAACCCACAAGGTTGGACAGACAACCCTACTCCTTGTCACGTAGCGGTGAATCGAAACCACGCTACTTGACTCAATGACGGAACCAATGATCCAACGCGAACGCGTTAACCGTTAGTCATACGCCCCAGCCCCCAGCCCCCAGACCCCAGCCCCCAATATTCAGGTAAATAACGAGTTAAGGCGAGTCTGAACAGAAAAATACCCCTCCCTTTGCTTATATTATTATATGGAAGCCACACTTCCATTCAGTTGCCAATAATTATTCCTCCAGATATTATTGTAATTATTGGTTTTCATTTTTTAGCCTACCAGGCCCGAGTGCTTATCTCCCTTGCCTGGATAGCTGCCCTGGTCTTCGCTCTTCCGGCGCCATTCCTGTACCAAGTCGAAGAACACCAACAAAAACTCCAGTGTTGGATGGATTTCCCAGAATACTGGCACTGGCAGGTAATTGTTACATTTATATACACGTGTATAACAGGTTGTTTTAATTTATTATATATAAGTGAAAAAAAAATCAATTTAGGTATTCTATGTTTATATCATTATACCTCGCAAAAATATGTACATTTTATTAGTTTAAAACTTATGGTTTGCTACAGCTAATCGGTTAAGTTATTTCTGATTTGCTAGATTTCGGGATCATGGTATAAAATAACCAGACACTGCTTATTTTTAGGAATTGTTACGTTTTACAAATTAAACATTAAAATTTTAGATCCACAGATAGAGCCAATGTTGAGATATAACTGATCTAAGCTAAAACGAAACTAAAATCATTAAGCAAACAACAGACTTCCGCTTAGTATTTTAAACGAAGAAATAACCGTTTTGATCTTGTCCCAATGCTAAATAATACATCAGAATAACCCAATTCAACACACTTTTTTGGCCTACGTCAAAGAGATTTGGCTCCTTTAAAGCATAAATGCCACCAACATTTCTAACCGATTTTTCTTATTGTGGCATTTAATAGATTGTAGCGTCGGTTCAAAAGGGTGAAATTGAGTACATGTAATTGTAATCTACATCTCCGGAAATATAAATAACGATATCCCAATTAAATTGTTTTGAGATAATAACGTTCACTTATCGTGTGATTCATAAAACCCAACTATCTGGTTAACTTACAGTTTTTACAAATATATTGTTTTATCGGCAGCCATTAATCTTAGAAATTTTATAATAACATTTTAACGTAGGTTCTCTTCTAATTTTCTTGTATAAGGCACGATAAATATCGGTGGTAATTCTGAACGTGTATAATGTAGGCATATGTGTTCATTTTTAAAATTTGTGGTCTATATATTTGACGTGAAAGGCTAGACTTCAGAACAAGGACAATCTTGGTTCGCATAGTCGCTGCAAGTTGTGACGGTGTTCGTGCATGATGTCGGTTAGGCATATCCTCTCCTCAACACCTGGTATCACTTTTTTCGATCACATTCTCAGGATTTCTGGTTAACTCTTGCTAGAAATGATTGTGGCTTGAAGGTTATTCCATCTTTTAGCATCAAAGTGATATATTATAGCCCACATTAACCTAGAAAAAAATCTAAGCTTTAATTTGGCTCTTTGATTTTGTGGCGGAACGTTATTTAACGGCAAGATGTACGGTCTATTTTTTCATTCGATTTTAAACCGTTAGCAGTCTTTGATGTGATAATATAAAAGTATTGTCTGCGAATGAGCGTCAAATACTGATATATTATCGACACTTTGTAAATAAATATTAACAAAGGCGCTATAGAGTCAATGGTTGACTACGGTGGTGTAACTTTTAGATATATATTCTGGAGATTAGTTTACCAACTGGCACTTAAAATGCGCCAAACCAAAATTTGTGGCGCAACTGCAATGGTTTTTTTAAATAACATAATCGCTTCATAACACTAAATTGGTAACATACTGTCAAAAGAGACGTAATGAGGCCATGGACTCATAGCCGTTCCATAAAAAGACATTTAACTAACGAATATCTTACATTTCGTTATGTTTCTCGAAGGATTCCAAGCATTTTCCATGGACATTGTGATGGAGTTAAAAAGTCTAGATTAACAAATGATTTTTAATCATTTCGGGCAATCTACCAATATATGATTTTAAGTTTTGCGTTAAAGATAAAGGAAATACCAATTTCTTTGTTTTACGGAATATTATCCTACATTCCGTTATACTTCTCGGGGGATTCCAACCATTTTCCATGGACACTGATTTAGAGTTAATTAGTTTACATTAAAAAAAAACGTGATGCTTAATCTTTTCGAGCGATCTTCCATTATATGATAATATGATATTTAATTTGACGGAGGCGAACCGGGAAATTAAATGCTCGTGTATACGAGATTATGTTTTGATGAAAAGAAAATTGGAAGGCTTTGGTTTCCTGTGCAGAAATGTCGTAAATTTTGTCGTCTTTGAAGCAACAAGCAGTTTTAAGATAACGCCTATAGTTTTGTCTGCTGAAAGTGATAGGTAATTTCAACACCAGATAACTCAAGTGATTTACGAAACAAGCGTTCAAAACTTAGTAACAATGGAACATTGCTGATCGGTATCGTTTAGGCAAGCCGGTCACTAGAAATACTGCAAAAGTTATGGATTAAAATAAATGCAGTATTTAATCAGAAATTAAGTGGTATAGATGTTTATATAGAAGAAGGTATAAGTCCGAACCGAACCCTGCTCCGATCTAAAAAGATCGCATTTAGGCCCATTGTTTTTGGATCGCAGTCATTAAGAAGACTTAGTTTCGGTTCGTATTCAGAGCCAATGCTTTCAGAGTTCTTGATGTAAATATATACTCCGAATCGCACTAGATAAACAGGTCTTTCCGCTCAATCTGTTCATTTCATCTATACCGTACATTGCAATATTTATGGTCTTTCTGTCTAGCCAAATTACAGATAACAGATAAGTCCTGTGAATTTAGATTTTGGATTTAATTAGAATATTGATCTAATATTTGGCTTTTTCTCCTTGACCATTTGATGGATTTCAATCAAATTTGGGAGATGTGTAGCCTTGGTGGTGCTTATTCCTAAATTGGGATATAATATAGGTATGTTCACACATTTTCGTCTTCTTGGTCTTGATCAGTGAAATTGGTTGGTAGGGCGGGGCATATAAGGGATGCCCTAAAATGCTTTTTTGGCTAATTCACCTTTTCGTAATGAATCACATTGGATAATGCATGTTCAGATTTATAGCTGCTCGACATCCTAAGTGTGGAACAGTGGTAAATTTAAACGTTTTCAACGTCTTCTTCTGAAACACTCAAATGGATTACATTTTACATTTAGGTATGTTACGTAAAAGCGCGTGATTGGGTAGATTTGTTTAAATGGATTTACTCAGCCAAACTCGACACCTTCCTGGAGGAAATTAACACCTTTTGTTATTGTGTAGGAATATTGTGTAGGAATATTATGTGTAGGATAAAGCATGAGACTGAGGTTATGCTGGGGGGAGAAAGACTGAAGAAAATAACCTGAGAAAAAGAAAAACCGATGCCGGTAGGCCGAGGTTTTTCTGTCGAGGGTTTTTTCTGAAGTCTTTCTTCCCCAGCATAACCGAAGTCGAGGACTTTATCTTGCTTATAAACCGTCTATGTTTACATGTACGCAAGATGGGAATATCCCAGAATTCCCGTAAGAAAAACCTTATATCATGTTTTCTTATGGAAAAAAACCCTTCCCTGGAAGAATAACCCGGTACAGGTTTAAAGAAAAACTTTCAGAAGAATAACCCCAAATTTCACTGTATATATACAAAGCCGCCCCGCCTTTCAGACCGCAAGTTATTCCGGGCATAGAATATACCCCAAAGATCAAAGAGATTTACTGTTACAGGTTTATAAGTAGGAATGTTAGATCTTACGTACCCATGCACATATGTTTGAAATAAAGTTGTCTGGACCTAAGAATGTGAAAATATAGATATTTGTTTTTAGGCAAGTGTAATTATTACTATACTGACAGCCTAACTAAACTCATTTATTAAGCCCACTTGTTTTGATTTGGTATGGAGCGATCATGTCACCACGATCTCATTGAACTCCTTTATTTTAACTGTACATTTCCCACAGTTTGACTTCTAATATGCCAATGACGATTTCGAAACATGTTCTTCTTTATGGAAACTCTTCCAGTTTGGACAATAAGATTAACGAGTATAAAGAAGCCGTCCAATTGCTCCTGGTGCGTGAAATGAATAAACGTTAAAAGGTCTTTTCTAGTATTTTTGTGGTTCAAACTAGTGCTTTAATTTGATTTGTTGCCTTATTCGTCTTATATGCCTAAGTGTTGTCATTATTCATTTATCGATTAACTTAGAACAAACGCACTTAAGAAGATAAAGACATCTATATATAAGGAGATCGTTCATTATTTGTAACACAAAAGGTCAGAATGCAGCAGTTCTCATTTCACTATATAGTATAGAATCATCCTGATCTAATAACGGACATGTTAAAGGTGTATTCGTATGTCATGGAACTACAGTTAAGCTTCAAATAATTTGAATTATAGTCTAATTTATCAACTTCAGATAAAAAGAACATTCGAGATTAAAATGTAAGAATAAAAATTTTCTAATCTTTTCTGAGATTCTTAAACAAATACGATAGTAATTAGTACTATATGTACCGGTAACTGAGCATGACGTCTTCGTCGACATCTTGGAACTAAACTTCGTCAATCGGCGCGGAATGGTCCAAGGACCAAGGAACAAGCATGTAAAATTCCACGTCGATCGCAGTTGGGTTTGCGGGGCGTTAGACTTTGTCGAATTGTCTCACCCACAAGAAAAACATGAACTAGAAGAGTAGAACATGGGAATCTGCTCCCAAAAATGAAATGTAGCCTTAACTGAATAAATAATTTTACACTCTAGTTGATGCTTAGGATATAATGGTACTTATGTTTTCTTCCTCACTATAAGCTTTCATTAACCCAGATGTCAAGAAGTTGCCAAAGAGTCAAGTATCAACAAAAAAAGTCCAAATTGGAATATGAATACATACTACAACTTAGAGATTTAACCAGACAATAACAGCCATTGATAAAAATCTCATTAGTTATTAAACAAAACGATGTAGCATATCGATTTATTTATTTTATATGAAATGGTAAATCGAAATTTATATTTATATTCCGTTATATTCTGTAACCCATCCTTCTGCGACAGGGTACTAACATTACGTACTACCCTGCCACTAGTGCCAGATAAGTATCATTATGTCTGTTTCTCTAAAGGGTTTCTATCCAATCAGGTGTCATGAAAAAAAAAATGTGTCATGATAATCGAGATCAACCCACGTGACCGCCAGCAATCAAAACACTGTTTTGAAAGACGAAATTAAATAAAGTTATGTATACTATACATTATCTACTTCAATAATGTATTAAATTGCTCTTATTTGAGACATACTAACACGTAGATATTATGCCATTTGTAATCCATTATATGATGACATGGACGTGTCTAATCTGTCTATGTCCGCGGTGATAATAATATCATCTCTTAGTTCCAGGGCCGTATTCAAGAATTTCAGCGGGGGGGGGGGGGGGGGAATCTAAGGTGGCGACAACGTCAAGTTTGGCGTGAGCTTTGGGTGATCATTCGAGATTTTTCTTAAATCAGAATCTCTGAGACAATATTTCTGCTCATTATGGTGCAGACATGTATAGGATTAGTGTAGAGTGGTACCAAAACGGTGGCAATTCTTCGTACGTTTGTTTGTTCGGCGGTGAATGTAAGAGAAAAAAAGATATTCTGCGTGAGCAGTGAAGTGCCTGGACCCCCAACCCCACCCACCCACCCTGGACTGGACATGCTCAAGTGTCAATGTAACACACGACTTGAAATTAAATGTTGGACTGTATATTACCTTGCCTCATGGGAGATGTCTGTGACATTAAACCCTAATTCCATTACCATGTATAATGGATATCTGCACTGCGCTGAGGGATCCGTCCTGCATCAAGGCAATCTAGTTTCGTCTGTAAATCATCTTCTTGTTTATTTCTCAGTTAGCTAACCGACCATGCTAAATCAGTCTGACACAGCGCAAAAAACGATAATGCATCGAAAATAACATTGGGGTTTCCGTGTAGATTTATGCCCTGGGCCCTGTAACTGCTTAATACCTGCAGATCGATGACAAAATTGATTATTTGTGAAAAAAAATCATTCATGTAGACCACGGGATTTTTATTCAATATGATAAGCTGTACTTTTCTGAAAAAGCACAAACTACATTTTTATTGCAAAATTGTATATTAATATTGAAAAGTAGACAGATAACTATTATCAGACGTGAAATACATATCAAATAAAAAAGTAAATTAATTTTGGTGCCAAAATGATGTTTATAATATAAATATGATTTATTCTTTAATGAACTGATATAAGGCGAAATTGATATGGAAGCGCTGTAGGGGCTCTTAGACTTGTCTAAAGGTTAAAATTCAGGAAATTAACGTCTGTTAAAAATAAATCATCGTCCTTTATGCCTTATACCATGAATTATTGCTGTATAAATTCCTAATTTCATTTAAAGCATTTTGATGTGCATATGGAATGACGACTTGGAATGTATTAGTCTATGCCCGTTTCCGATTTTTTATAATTGATTTTAGGTCACAAAATGTTGACTTGGGTTGGCGAGGTGTGGGTCAAAACGCTATACTATTAAATTTTCGCCACAAAACAGGAATCGGAAATCGGTGTCCTCACTAACATATTTGCCGACTGTTGAAAACAAAAATGTATTTGTCGACCTAAAATTTTAATATACACATTTCACAAAACATATCCATACATTAAATTTAATTAATTATTATTAGTACGTACAGCATATTCATTATGGGCTTGTAAAAATGGTATACTGTATGCGTCAGTTAAAAGCGTGTTTATAAAATGTGTGTTTTTTTAAAAAAAAAAACAAAAAAAAAAAAAACCAATATAGAGGTTTGCAACATCTTAAACTAGAAGGTAGATTATTCCATAAAATAGGGGCTTGGAAATTAAAAATGTGTGTTTTTTTAAAAAAAAAAAATATAGAGGTTTACAACATCTTAAACTAAAGGGTAGATTATTCCATAAAATAGGGGCTTGGAAATTAATAGAGTGCTGAACATAAGAGACAAGTTGAACGTATTTGGGCTTTAAAAGTAGTTTATCTGATGTTCAGCCAGGTGTATAAAGTTCTAAAGAATCAGATAGGAAAACAAGAGCTAAATTATTTAAGCATTTAAGAGTAAGTAATAAAATCCTAAAATCAATTCGATATTTAACAGGTAACCAGTGTAAATCCATCCGTTTAAAACACGGATCCTATTTCGTTTCGTTTTTTTTTGTAGTTCAAAATTTCGTTTTACTTGTCTTTACTATCGAAAGTATAAAAAAACGAAACGAAACATAGATCTATATATTAATCAGATTGAGTGTAAATTATATAAAACAGCAGTTATGTGATCACATTTCTTAGTTAAAGTTTAGCATACTACAGCCAGACTTTAAAAAGTCTAGCTGTAGTATGCTGAACTTTTTGTAATCTATCTATAGGCTTTAAAGGTAAACCAACTAAACGTGAATTAAAATTATCTAATCATGAAGTGACAAGAGAATTAACAAGTGACTTGGTGGCCTCTAAAGTTAAAAATTTACGTATAAAACGAAAAAAAATATCACAGTTACCAATTACTTTAGAGCGTTTATCATGTACAAATACATACTTAATTGCTGCCTTGAGCCTAATAACAAATTTTCAGAATAGAAGGACCCATCGTGTCGAAAGTGGCAGATACATCTAATAGAATTAAAAATGTACATGTTCTATTATCAATTTTCAATAAAATATCATTTGATACCGGGGTTAAAACTCTTTCGGTACTGTGAATTTTTTTGACGCAATTCAAAGACGTCGTTCCAGTAGCTCAGTGAGTATAAAGACACTGGCTCAGTAACCAGGGGGTCTCATGTTTGATGACGAGTTTGGTTCTGAAAGTACCGAGGTGATTTTCCAGCCTGGTCCACCTTGTCAGTGGTGCAGGACGGGTGAAATGGTAAGGAACACAGTCTGTTCGGATGAATCGAAAAACCTAGGTCCTGTTTATTTTTTTCTCTATTGTCAGTTGAAACCCGAAATGCCGTTTTAATTGAATTGAAATGAAATGGGGTTTAACGTCCTACTGTTCTGTCGGAATATATATTTATAACGATTATTTTTTACTTCAGAAATATAAGAACATCGCACAATAATCACTCAGTTCAACCCCATCTTGTATTTCTTTTTCAGTTATTTTTTACATTGGTATCTTTTGTAACATTCATCTTGCCAGCGTTGATTATCTCAGCATGTTATATCGCCATTATCTACATAATCTGGAATAAAGGACAGAATCGGAGCAGTATGGAAGAGTCTCATAGACTTACAGAAAAGGATTCCAAGAATGGTAAATAATATTATTTCTGGTAACCCCAAACACTGAGTGGATATAATATGTCATTCATTTCCATTCATGTTTGTGAAATTTTAATTAATTCTCTCTAGATCATTTTCTAAATGAACTAACTTGCTGATCGCGGGGATTATATAAATAATAAATGATATGGAAACACTCCACGTCACATATTCAGTAAGTAATATATTGATACTGCACGAGGACGTTAGTCTGAGAGTTGTATCAATATATTACGTAACGTCTTGCTCGATCTAGAGTGAAAATCTTATTAATAAGTTTATATTGTTTTATACTCAATTGTCCGTCTTCATTGGCCCAGTCGGAACAGAACAGTAGGGCGTTAAATCACATTTCATTTCATTTCACTTATACTCAATTCGTCCCAAAGTTACGTACAGTACTAAACATCTACCTATATACAATTTATCAGTAACTCCAGTCTGATTAAAATACAGATCTATATTTCGTTTCGTTGTTTTTATACTTTTCACGATCTCTACTACATGAGACCTGACCGGTTGTAGTAGGAGGTCGCGTCAGGTTTCATACGAGCGGCTTTTGGCCCTATGACGTCAGACATTTGATTAACCAATCAGCGTGTATTTTTCTAGCGGGATACCCACAGTTCCGTGCACCACACGCCAAGAACTCGAAGCAACAGGCCGTTTCATTGGCTAATCCCTTACATCAAACAGAACGCGGATTATATAACAACTCTGCTAGATCCTAGTGTAGTAAAGACAAGTAAAACGAAATTTTGAAATATAAAGAAACGAAACGAAATAGGATCTGTGTTTTAAGCAGATTGTCAGTAACTCTTTCACTATTTTCAGTTGACTGATACATCTATCATACAGACAATTTTATTAAAGTTGTGGTTATCAATTTTATTTCAGGTGAAAATGGCCAATCACGTAATCATGTATTGTGCCGACGTAATAATTCTAACCGGGGTATTATACCTCAAGCTAAGATACGAACAATAAAGATGACTCTTATTATTGTTATAGGTAAATAAATATATTTATTCATTGACATTTTCTTTACAAATTTAAATAGCCCCCAATTCTACCACAATCTATTGCTAATGTTGCTGAATCTCATAAAATACATTTGTTTAAGCATCTTAGCATTGGTGGAAAACAAGAGGACCAAGAGAAAACCCATGGGGCTAGGCGGACGAATTTATTCCTTGTCTAGTACCGTACAAGTGTGGGATCTAAACCACGCCACTTGACTCATTGACAGATCTAATGATCTAAACTACACGCGTTAGACCACTCGACTGCACCCAACCGTCCGGTTTTATATAAGCCCAGTATAAATGTGTTCCGAATGCTTAATAATCCCGGCAAAAAGATAGGCCGATCACTATTCTATATATCGAAATTACATATTTTGAAACGGGAACTTTCAAATAGAGATATTTGATTAAAACCAATGAGATTAGAGTTGATACCAGAAATATATTATATTTCTAACATAGTACATCTTGGAATTCCATTGGTTATTAGAAGAGATGGTAATTTCCAAAGTGAATTTTTTTGCAGCTTGGTTGATCTCCGGGGAGGTAACTCTAGTTATTCGATACTTCTCGTACTGTTCCACAAAATAGTATTATATCCTATGTAATAAGTTCTAGTCACAACCACAAACAACAAAAAAATACATCCTTTTCATCAAAGTGTCTTGTCTTGTTTCAGTATTTATACTGTGTTGGAGTCCTTTCTTCGTATATAATTTATTAGAATTGTATGAACATATTCCAAGAAATGATCCACTAAGTACGTTCGTGCAGAGTGCCGCTCCCTTGAATTCAGCCGCCAACCCCATAATATATGGTATATTCAGTACAAGAATATGTACGAATTTAAGGTAATTATTAAATTTAATATATTTATCAAATTGTTAATAAAAATTATTGTGTCTTAAAGGGTCGATACGTCAATGCAACTCCGATACTCGGTATTCTTATTACCCAAAAGATAGTAGGCATCTTTCAACTATATCAGTTGCAAAAATATTATAGAACTAGTTGGTTACTTACTGCTTCCTTATTTCAAAACCAAATCACGCAAATGGTCTTGATGTTGTTAATACTTGATGTCTACAGTGGACTCTGTCACATCCGATGTCTGATCACGTTTTCATGAGTTAATCTCATCCTAGTTTTGAACGAAAATTGTTTGTTCTCTTGTTTATTTTTTAGGATACCCGTGTTGAGTTGTTTGGCTAAAGCTTTCTGTGGACGTTCAAAACCAAGAAAATCCCGCCAGATGCGCGTCCAGGGGCAAGTTATCTCCCTTAGTGACCAGACATTCATTACAGATGGCAGTGGAAGCAGACGTTTAACAAAATCATCCAATAATCATTCTCTATTGGCCAACAGACGACCATCCGGGCTACCCGTTGTTCGTAAAACTTTATCACCAAGAGACAATCTTTTATTAAAAACTATCGTTCCTGTATCAAAGCAGAGAAATGGCTGCCACAAAATTCAGTCATCGGTTATAAACTGTAGCGAGGGCATGTTAGTTTGAACGGTAAGCTCTCTTCTGGCATAAGGCTTATTTGCCCGTGTCCGAAGATTTCCTTAGTTTACTTGCTCCCAAATCGCGGGATAGTGTGACCCAATCTAGACGAAAAGTTCAAAATTAAATGAAGCTTTACGTTCTATTTTTCTGTACCCACCGACCAATGAGTATGGTCATACGCCAAGGCCTGTGCTATGGGGAAACTTTTGCCGGGACAGCGGCGGTTTCTCCTACTATTCGTCGAATTTCAACTGCCAAAGTGATCCACAGCACATTTTTCTCTAGCGTGGAACAATTTGAAACTGTACATATTCCCATGTTGTTTTAAAATGTATGTGTATTTGTATGTGCAAATCTCCTTTTTACGAATATTAGTCTGGGTGGATTGACAACATTTGAGCGTAAAGAGGGAGGTAAATAGCCTTAAAAATGTCGACGCCCATGAAATTAATTTAAGAATTACCATTTCCGAAATATCTTTTTACAACATCACAATTCGTCATAAAAATGCATGGACTATGGGATTTATTTCGGGAAGGGGCGTGCAACTCTTTCTTGAATTTAGCTTGGAAAAAAGTTTTATTGCCAATGCGTAACCGGGAGTTTGTTTTTGTTTTTTGGGGTTTTTTTTTGTTTTTTTTTGTGGTTGATTATCCAGTAAAATATCGTCAAATGTGGAAAACTGGCCCAGACCCTACGTACATCGAGGACTAGGGGGCTCTTCGTTGAGCAATCTTTGATGACTTAAATGTAACTTTAAGCGTATCAACCCAATAAGACAGCTGTTGGGAGTATGGGTGATACATATGACGTCGGCAGCGTAAAGTTTTACATGTATTATAAAAGGCCAATTATATTTTAAATATTTAACATAGTCTGTCAAACGCAACCAAACACATCATACGGTAATTAATTTGAATAGATGGTGCTGGGAAAAAATAAGAAACATCAAGTAATTTTTCTTTTGTCATTTGGCAATTCTTAGAGTTGGCTAATGTAAATTTTAGATATTGGGCTGACGTTCTTGCTATACTAGTTAAATAATAGATAATGAAAAATTAATAAATTGAAAATTCTAGTCATTTTTTATTCTGAGCTTAACTAAATAGTCCTTATTGTCAAGTACCATTGCTACTATTATACACGAAGTCTCAAGTTTCCAGATTAACGATATGGCGGACATTGTTTGATCCACTTAGTGCCGTAGCCATCCGATGCTCTAGAGGGTTGATTATGGGTTTGGCATATGAATAAATGTCTGAATAATTCATATACCATTTGACGCTAGAAAAATGCATCGATAAGTAATTAATTTAATAAGACCCCGATGATGTGTGTTTTAATACAACATGATACTATTGGGAATAACTACTGTATATTGATTGTTATGTAAATAACTTTTGTATATACTAATCAATGAGATAAAATCGTGTTATGTATAAATTTATTTATTTCTTTATGTACATAATGTAATGTACATAATAAAATATTTCAATTACAGGCGACTGTTTTGTTCTTTCACATTCAACCTAACCCTGACTACTCGACATTCCTAGATATACATGTATACTCTTCAAAACAAAGTAGGGGATATTGAAATGCAAATACCCATGCAGGCTGTGTGATATGATAAATAGTCAAGGATACTTGACGTGCTTTGAGAGTATGTTCACAGATGAAGAACTTATCGCCCCAACAGAACCACTGAGCTGCATGGGCGACACGCAATAGCGCCATACACATGGGGGGGGGGGTCATTATCAAATTTGAAACTTCAAGGAAGGGTTGATGAAAACTGCCGCTTGATGGTTTATCCTATCCATGTTTGCTTTCCTATCGGTTCTTGCATAAGATTTACTGTTTAGCGTATCTTTGCTTTAGTGTATTACGTTTAATTTGATCCGGAGACCTGTTCGTCGACGTCAACGTAAACCGACAACACTGCAAGAATTGGCTGTGGCACTGCAAGAGGAGTAGGTCATATTTCCCCAAATCGTGATTGGACGGTTGATTAGGAGCATGCCACGACGAATTGCTGAATGTCTGAGGATTGGTGGAGCAATTACCCATTATTAAAACAAAAATCAGAAACGACCATTTCCACTTTTGACAGTGTATCTCTTTGCGAGTGATATGGGGCCGTCAGAAAAGCCACCTTTATGAACTGTTTATGTGCATGTGTAGGCAATTGGCCTGTTATTAACATACACTGGTTACCTCTAATAAAAACAGCAGTGCATTTCCGTAGTTTTGTATTGTTTATGAATATCCCCTACTTTTTTTGAAGGGTATATATTTAGATTATTTAGAGTATATTCTGAAACAGAACTGTTAACCCAGGTGCTCGATTGTTAGCCCAGAAACTTCTAAATCAAGATTTGCACCTGTACTGGGCGGCGGGACGATTTATCCAATTCTACCCCTTTTACCACCTCAATATCACCACATACTACCCAATACTACAACATAATGATGCAAAATGGACATATAATTTTATTGTTTTCAAAAATAGAGAGTTATATTGCGAAAAATGTACTTCAAATGTGATACCGATGTTTGACTGTTCCATTTCCCTATATCACCCAAAACAAGCAAATAATAACCCAATACTACCAAATACTTGGGGTGGTATTGGGGTGGTTTTGGGTAGTATTGGGTAAATCGTCCCACCCATCGGTATCGGTACCGGTACTGAGTTAAAAATAAAATGTTGTATTTTACATATCATTCTGCTACCCTCTGATCTCCCTGACAGAAACTAGACCAAAAATACGGATCGCTTCAAACCATAGTCGCATAGAATGACAACTGAATATGCTTGAAATCCGAAACCAGGGTTACCATAGTTGTTACCGACCATTCCTCTTTAAATGTCATTATAACGTCAATCTTTAATACTAATTGTGGAGTTTATGAACATGTTTGACGACAGAATCATCTATAACTTAATCGGAGAGATTAATAATTCTTTGAAATCCGATCGCGTTTTCGAAAGTATAAAAGTGATTTAAATCATAGACTATAGATGACTCGAGATTTGCGTTCCAATAAACATCCAATAAACATCCCTACCAGATTTTAAACTGCCCCATCAAACTAAAACTTATGCCAGACTTTTTCGTCTCCATAAGGAACAATTTCTTCAACACCTGGATCTCTCATTTACAAACCATTATGAGATTACCCCGGTGTCGAAGAATTCTGATGTTCGACATTCCTTATAATAATCCCATAACTTTTATAAGAAAAAAAAGAAATTTAATTTGTATGTAGACTCACATGAAATGGTGGGTGATTTAGAGACGAAGAACCAACAACATACCTAGGTGTCGATATAATGCATCCACATCACAACTGGTATATCGTTAAACCATGGTAACTTTGTATAAATATATCTTTGCATTTATTTTGTTTTCCATTTTTCTTGATAATCTTTATGTAGAAATATAATTAAGTCTAATTAGAACAATCAGACTTAAAAAAACAAGATAAATTACTCTCTTGATGGTACCTTATATTAAAGTTTATTCATATTCAACTTATATTAAAATTTATTCATATTTAGCTTATATTAAATTTTATTCATATTTAACTTATATTAAAGTTTATTCATACTCAACTTATATTAAATTTTATTCACATTTAATTTATTTTAAAATTTATTGATATTTAACTTATATTAAAGTTTATTCATATTTAACTTATATTAAAGTTTATTCATATTTAACTTATATTAAAGTTTATTCATATTTAACTTATATTAAAATTCATTCACTTCGATTCTGGGTTGCCGAACAATGTATAACATAAAACACTCAACCAAAAGAATCAATTAGTAAGCAAATCTAATACTATTTATAAATCGGTCGAAATGTCCTCGAAACATATAGGAAGATCAGTACTAGGGAGACTAATATTCGATCCCCTGTCATTGTTCAGTTTCGATAAAGACGACAATTTAGAAGCCGCAAGCACTGCCACGTGAACAGCTCGGTTGTTATTTGTTTGCGCGTTCTGTCCACGGGAACAAAGAAGTCTCTTAAACTCTTTCCTGAATTTATTCCCACTCAACATATATAAGATAAAATTAATAGCGTGGTTAGTATACATGAGATTGTCGACAACTGCATGGACAAGGTTATGAACAACTTGTTCCTCAACAGATGTGGAAATCCATAGGTGTGTCTCTACTAATCTAAGCAAGGCCACTGGTGCTGCCAGAAACAGAAAAGCAAAACTGACTAAGATGAGCATGAGGGTAACTTGTTTCTGACTCTTGGCTTCAGACGATGATGGAGACTTCTCAGTACCTTTCTGTTGTCGTCGATTCTGTGGTGGGACGTGAGTCATTTGGGTTTGAATTGCTTTAGATTGATGGAGATTCTTGATAATGAGGATATTTAAAGTGAACAAACTAACCAGAGGGATGAAACAGTAGATAGTTGAGTCTATCCATGAGTAAACTTTAGTCACAAAATATTTATTCAAGTCACCCTGAATTGAACATGTGTAAATATCCGCTTTAACTTCAACCATTGACCTCGTGAAAATGTTGTGTAAATTTATAGACAGAGAAAAGAAACCAAGACCAACGATAGCCATCACTGCTTTCTTGGTGGTAATCAGCCTCGAAGCCCGAAGGGGAAAGGCCACAACCAAATATCTCTCAAAGGTCATAGCTAAAACTAATAATACATCCCAATGAATTACAAAATAGAACACAAACATGATGAAACCACATGACCATGCACTGAAGATTTCGTGCCCAGGAAATTTTCGCACAAAGAAACAGATGTTTAGGATCAAAATACAAGTATCCAAAAGCGCTATGACTGCCATATATAAACAAGTTGTTGATTTCCTTAAAGTAGAGCGAATTAAAACTAGAAAAGCCAAGGAATTTCCCAAGATTCCGATTGAAGCACATACTGGAATATAGTACAGGTTTATCGCGTCAGCTAAACGTTGTTCCCAGTACTGAGTTCCGTTTACGTTGTTCAAGAATGCTTCGTTCATCCCATTTCCTTTCTGATCGACAGCTACCCCAGAAGCATTACCTGCTGTTGCTTCAGTTTGATTAAACATCACCAAAGATGCGTTTCCAGAACACCTATTCAAAAAAAACATCCATCGGAATATTGGCGTTGTTGTAATTAATTCCTCATCTGTTCAAAGAAATATTCTTCTTTCATTGTCTTCTGAAAAGGAATTGATTGGATGTTCAATAATTAATGAAATACGTCAGCCGTGAATTATTTTTATTTTATAAGCATGTGTATCATTATCATTGCATCATCCAGTAACCGCAAAGATCGCGTGTTAAGAAATATGACCTTGTAATTTTGAAAAAAAACAACAACTGACCTTAAACCCCAAATGAACTACTATCACATGTGGCTGTTTTCCTAAAAACTTTAAAGTACCACAGACATATTTTTTGTATGAATGTTCTTATCCCACAGACTACCTACACGAAGATACTCATTAAAGACTGGTTAATATGGAAAAGGGTTAATCAATGCACTTACCTAAAACTGACAGATTACCAGCTACGCTTCCACACTTTTGAACTTAATATTTTATACTACCATACCGCTATAATAAACATGTAGGTAACCAAAATCAATTCCAATATTAGTTAGGAATCGAATTCTTTATGACATTTATTATCTGGGGAAAAATAAAATTGCGCCAGGCATTCATTTCCCAGTAAAAATCACGAACGCATTATTTTTCTAAACAAGTTTCACTGTTTAATTAATGCTTTGATGACCGATATATGGTTCCCGTGTGCTATCTGCCATCAGACTTGGGTCGATAGAAGATGAACGTGATGAGAAGGTACCACATGTATGAGTGACAAATTGTTTGATTGAACTGATCATATTCATAATATTTGGAGACCTTGATCTTGAATTTTTAATTTATTGCACCTGACCACCAGCAGTATCATTCGGTGGCTGTACAAGTTCAAGATCAGGGTTCTTTTGATGGAAGAAAATCACCGAATTCCTTATATATATATATAGAGGGAAATGGGGGTATAGCATCAACTTGACACAAACTAGATCATTTAGAGACAAACATATGGTTCAATTTTATTTCAGTAATTCGCTTCCGCGTAGGTCTCTTTAGCTGTAGGAGGAACCAGGCGACTCAGAGAAAACCCACGAGGTTCGACAGGCGACCCTAACCCTTATCATGCCACGCCATTTGACTCAAAACAAACCTAATGATTTAAAGCGCACGCGTTAAGACATTCAACCAACGCCCCCTCCCTCGTCCCAAGTTTCTTTTAATTCCTCGATTAATTAAGGCGCACGATAACATTATCAACTGCCAATGCCAATTTTCAAGACTTAAATGTTTACTTATTCTTATAAAACATTATAATATTTGACCCACGAGGGAGGGGGGGGACTGAATGGTTAGCACGTGCGCGCTGTACCATAAAGTCTGTCATTGAGTCAACTGGCGTGGTTTCGAATCCCCGGTTGTACGTGGCAAGGGGTAAGTTTTCTCCGGGTCCTCCGGTTTCCTCCCACTGCTAAAGACCCCTACGCGCAAGCGAATTATTGAAATAAAATTAAACCATGTGTTAGTCCCGAAATGACCTAGTTTGTGTCGAGTGGACGTTTAACCCCATTTCTCTCTCTCTCCCTCTCTCTCTCTCTCTCTCTATTTGACCCACTTTAAAATTGCTATGAATCTGATAGAGCTATATTTTCAAATCACTACAATAAAATATACACTATTATTATAGATTATTGTCGTTCTTCTTATAAAATTGAACTATATACATATTAAAGATACATTATGGGAGATTAGATACAGAGCTGGTAGTTCTCACTATAATAGTTAACAACTAGATAATTTAAGAGGAATTTGCTGAAAATTTCAGTCAAATTGATCCACTCTGAACCGAGTATTTAGGGATTTAAATTTGGGCCTAGCCTCGATCATCATTACTAAACATAGTCTCGATTATCCACTTTTTTGATTTAATCAGAAGCAGCAGGCCGGGTTCTAATCCAGTAAATATCGCAGGCTAGCGATGACATTGAGAGTTGATTATGGTCTGGATAAGTTAATTAATGTCTAATTAATAATTTAGATAGCATTCCAGGCCTAAAGAAAGACCTGCAATTGACAGATTTAGCTCTTGCATAATGTATGTTTAAGGCTATGGTATATACCGTTATGTTAGATCTGATGATGCAGTATAGAAAGTCAGAAAAATAAAGACAAAATCAAATGGGATTTTATTTGCTACTCCATCCGGTCTAATAAAGACGAACATCCGGCAGGCATCAGGTAAATGTTCACAGGACAGCGAGGCTACGACTTACTCTTATTTCGGATTTTGGTTCGAATTTGGGACCATGTGTGGTCAAATTAACATATCCCTTTAAATATTTGCGCCACTTTAAAAAATCTGATAGCGCTATCTTTCTAAACTACTACAGTATTGGTGTATAAACGTTGTCTAAGTAGCGAATAGGTTACATCAAACTTATATTTCACATAACATTACATAACATCCAAATTTGTATAGCGCAATAAATACACGAATTAAGAGTTCCAAATGCGCTTGCAAAATTATACCGTATGTTTCCAGTTCATCCTTAGTGTTCTGTGAACAGATGAGTTATTAATCTGGTTTAGAAAATACAGACAAATGATCTGAAGAGTACTGGAAGGAACGTTTGGTCATTTATAAGCAAGTCGATTGTACTGTTAAGCGTTATGAAGAAGATCGTAGACATTATTGCGGCATGTCTGTGCAGATGAGATTCTTGATGTAGGATGGCAATCTGTCCCACAGAGGTAATGCAAAAGCCTTCTTTTAACTCTGTGCAAGATGACTAACCTTTAAGTTCAAGCCCACGGCTTCGATGTTCCTTATTCTAAATAAAGTATAGATGATAGCTGCTCGGAAAATCTGGGTGAGCTCTGATGAATTTCGCTCAATACCCTCTTTTATAACCCCCTAATTTCTGTATGTCATAGACTGTCCTTGGCGTTACTTGCCTTCCCAAATATGGAATAAACATCCCATTCCCCAAAGACCCGGGGGGGGGGGGGATTATCTTATTTGGTCTACCAAACACGTGTCATAAACAAGATAGTATTCGATGGATATTTGGACAATGGTAAAGATTTTACCAAAATATCATTGTGTTTTTTATATATATAAATACGTCACTAAAATTCATTTGAGGATGTGTGATTTGACTCTATAGAAAGTGTGAACCAAATAATTAGTTAAAGATACAATATGGTGGCAAGGAACATAGTATACACGTATGGCATCACGCCATATGGCGCCAAGAACGCGTGCGTTGTTTACATCGAACTTAGTATTACAAACTGGTCCGGGCAGAATTGGCGCCTTTTACTCATTTTACGCAACCGCCCACTATTGTATGTACCCATTTACAATAAATAGGGAGTATTTGTTCTATGATAAATTGTTTTAGAAGACGTATTAGCGTGATTGTGTGGGCTAAATGCAGGCTCGGGACCAAATGGTTGTAAAGCGCAAACTTTTTAAATTTTAAAATCGATATCAGAAGAAATTGGATACCAGTCACAATCAGTCCACCACCACCAGTACTGACTGTTTCACAGTCCCACTGTCATTTTTTTTCGCGCAAAAGAAAAGTTAAATTATACCAAATCAAAACAGTGTTAATTATAAATTAACATTTTAGATAAGGTTTTATATAACCGGAACTTAGTCACTAACTTCGGTGGCATCGTACCGCTCCCGTGGAGAAAATCCGAAACCCCAGCAGCGACCAACGGTGTAGCCTTAAATTGAGGCAAAAGCATTTGCACATCTCCAATATTGACAGGATAGCTCTTTGTTGGTGGGATGCTCTTATCGACCGTAGCATATCTCATTAACGTTTGCCGTCATAATGGGATCGATACCTAGATGTTTGAAAATTGGCAGATAATTGCGATGTTTCGAGGCCTATAACTTTTGAGTCAACACATAATTAACCAACATATGTCTCTTTTGTACGGGTTTTATTTATATTTATATATTCAGCTTCCTGTATGAACACGTGTTCATTAGTCCGACTGATGCAGAAAAGTAGAGCATTAAAATCCAGTTATTTCATTGATTCCTGTAGGATGTAATGAGACCTACCATAGTGCTAGTTGTGTCTTACAGAAGGATACTAAGGCGATGATAACACCACGTTATGAAAATAATCACGCGATAATATTCATATCTATTTTGCTGTATGCTCTCACTAATACTGTCGTTATGTCGTATTATAAAAATGGCGAAAATTACATGGCCACTATCAGCTACCATAGTATTTGAGAAAATTGCGTTAGAAAATAGTGAGTAGAACATCTGAAGTAGAGACTATACAGCAGGAAGTTGTTTGTAGAAAGTTGAAATTATGTCCATGAAATAAGAATTATGACGATTAAAAGTTGAAAAGCTTGACAGTAGAGACTATACAGCAGGAAGTTGTTTGTAGAAAGTTGAAATTATGTCCATGAAATAAGAATTATGACGATTAAAAGTTGAAAAGCTTGATGTTTTTGCAGATTAGTGCATAAACTTAAATAGGTTTTCACTATAAAAATATCCTTATAGATAAGAATTTTCCCGTTTACTTCAGATTTCTACTGTTTACTTTTGATTTTCTGCCTTTTACTTTTTACTTTATACTGCATTCTGAAATTCGAGGCCACTTAGCCACCACCACCCATATATCCTGGGCAATCTGATCCGGTTTCTTTCGTTTTTATATTAATGAGGGTAGGATAGGCGACTACCTACCCGTCAAGTACGCCTTTGGGTACGACAAGTCTCTAATAGTGTGGGGAATAAAATACATGTACATTACTGTGTTGGTTGTGTTTTGTCATTGTGATTTTTTAGCATAAAAACTTTTAAATCATATAGGAACACGTTACTGCCAAACGTTACTGGGATATATTTTATAAGATATTTACAAAACTGTGTTTAATGTTATTGGATTGTATACAAAAGGGGCAAATGATCACCTCAAGTTATCAATTGTACTCACTAACAACTTTTAATCCACCCCAACTGGTTTGAAACTTTTAATATTAATTCTTTTCCTCTATTAACCTATAACGTGACAAGTCCTACCTTGCTCGGTTAGGATCTATCTACTATATTAACTTGTCTGGAAAAAGAAATAACCAAAAAACAGCGGCTAATCCGAAAGAAAAAAACTTGAATGTTGACCAAATTTGATAAGGATGCTTTCAAGAAAATTGTTCTCTATCGTGTATACAGGAGGGTTTTTTGAGGGGGGGGGGGCATATAACAATATCATATTATAACGCTGGAAAAGAAAATAGAAAAAAAAACCTTCCGACCCCAGTGCTTCACGCAAAATATAAAAATCAATAGGGTTTATCCTCCGAGTGAAATACAATAGTCCCGATGCTTCACACCAAATCTAAAATAATTCGTTCAAAGCTGTGTCCTCGGTTGCGTTCACAACAATTTAAAAATTTAACCACAAATGATACCATTAGTCATCTATGTTGACCATTAGCTTGGCCTTTTAAAATATCAGTAGAGATGGTAAGTATGTTCAACAGATATTGATCCTGAATGTTTTAAAAACCTAATCATTTTAATTTGTCGTAGCTCTTCTGACTATTTCCCGGAATTGCTTAAGATCGTGTGCTATGTTCTAAATGTTGGTATTAATATTTCATATTAAACATATAAAATTCACAGATATTTTAAACATTGGTTAATGTTCAATCACTCCACATTCACTTCCCAGTGTTTCATTGGAAGCCTGTACTGGGCCACTTGGATAACCTTGGTTACTTCCCTTTGTCCAACGTTATAAAGAGAGAGTGAGAGAGAAATGGGGTTTAACATCCACTCGACACAAACTAGGTCATTTCAGGACTAACATATGGTTCAATTTTATTTCAATAATTCGCTTGTGCGTAGGGGTCTTTAGCAGTTGGAGGAAACCGGAGGACCCGGAGAAAACACACGAGGTTGGACAGGCGACCCTAATTTTTGTCCGCACGCGCTAACCATTCGGACATCTACCCACAACCCTACCCCACCCCCCGCCAGCGTTATAAATATTCGTCGTGTAATTAGTTCAAGTTTCAAAAAATAATATCGTGAATTTTAGATTCTGAACAATGTATTCTCCTACAAACACCACAGATCTGTCGGTTTCTGGTTAACACTCTCACAGTGGCCCTTCGATTCAATTCGTTTCTAGTTCAAATGATCCCATAATTTACTCGAACACAATAGTGGCTAGCACTTTCACAGTAATTAAACGCATATAGTTCACTTTTTACATATTATTCTGCACATGACCATACAGGTTTCATTTAAATAAATAAATTAATAAATATCAGCTTTGAAGCTACACTATTTTATAATGAGTCTTACACGACAAGAATTTGTCAGACCCAAATACGAAAATAAAACACTGGTACAACATTTCAATGTCCATTTTTATGCTAAATTTATTTTTCACCTAGTCTATTTTGTTACTAAACCTGTTGTTTATCGCATCCCTTAACAGCCATCAAATCCCGTCGGCCATTTTAAATACTTTCTCTTTATCCGGGATCATGAATTGATTAGGCCTACCAAAAGCAACAACTGGTTTTATTTGATTATCAGTTATGATTATCCACAGCGACGACACATTTATTAGTCAAGAGGCATAACGTATGAGCTCGATTATTTTGGTAAGATTCAGGTTGTTCACTTTTTGGACCTGGGTCTAGTCTACTTTTACAGGACGTGATGTCATTATCTTCATTTGCGTTTGTTAGGTAATTCTTTTTAGTAGAACTTCTAAGCGCTCCAAGTTTTAATCCCACATCCTTTCTTAGAACTGGTAGTGTTCCTCTTAAATGTGCACGTACCTTTATAATGACAACAAAATAAAGATATAAATAAAAATAAAATGAAATGAAATGGGGTTTAACGTCATAATATTCTGCTCCGACTATGGGCTAATGAGGACGGGCATATGCCATACAGTGTGCTATGAGGGAATGTGCGCCGATACAGGCCCACAGACACGCTCTCCATTTTAGGTTCGTAGAAATGGATAATTATTTGATTTCGCTATATTGTGAACTCGATATAGCAAATAAAGACTGGGCGAAAGTATTTTATAGTGAGCCGTCTATATCGCTACACATAATGACGACGTGCCCCCGAAAAACTCTTGTTAATGAGACAAATAGAGAGTATTAACGTCCACTCGATAAAGACCAGGTCATTTCGGAACTAATATATGGTTCAATCTGAGTTCAATAATTTGCTTGCGCGTAGGGATATTCAACTGGGGGGGGGGGACCGGGGGACCCACCACACGTCTTGTCGCGCACAAGCGGGAAATCGTAACCACGCCACTTGACTCAATGACAGACCGTATGATCTAACTCGCACGCGTTAATATATTCGACCACCCAACTACCCACTTGTTAATGATACGGAAGGTCTGTGCAGAAATAGATTCTTAATCTGTTTATTTAATAATAGACGTCATTGACCAAAAATCTAATCGTGAGGTTGTGCGCTAATTAAATTATGTGCTAATTAGATTTTATTTTTTTCGTTTTAGTATTTTAATTCGGTTTTGTTGTTTACAGCTTGTCAACTTGTAGCTCATTAATCGTTAATTAAATAATTGATAAACGTACAGAATATTGCCAAAAATATGATTTTAATTGCGGATCCTAATTTATTCACGGATGTTAAACAGGAAATTTACACAGACGGATATAAAACTGTGATTCCCAAAGGATTAATGGGGTGCCCCTCTGAGAACTGCCCTATGCGGCAGTCTGTAATGATCTAAGGACAGCACCGGATATGTCTATGTCCTATCACAAGGTAAAAGCGGGCGGGTCATGTTCTATAAATGTGTCATGTCTGTCACAAATTAAAACCCGTATTTAAAACGTATTCGGGCGTATTCATTGGTTATAGGAAGTGGGCGGCAGTTCAACATGTAGCTTGTTCTTACCTCATGGTTAAAAAAACACAACAATAAAGACACTAAAACTCCCTGAAATAAAACAATTCATACATCATTATATGAAAGCCACACAAGGGATTCACTACGGAACGGACAGTGGTGGTACACTGAACATCGATAGCGTTTGTCCTCTTATGACGACAATGCTTAGCACAATATTAGAAAAAACTGTAGTCTATTATCGAATTCACAAGGTTTTCGATAAAGGGGTAACTCTAGTACAAAAGGTCGCAGAACGTTGAATATCGACAGGGCTCGCCCTATCATAACCACGATGCTTCACACCCAAACTGATTAAAACACAGATCCTATTTCGTTTCGTTTTTATTGTTCAAAATTTCGTTTTACTTGTCTTTACTACACTAGGATCTGAAAGAGTTGTTATCATTGACGTGTTCTGAATGATGTGAGCTATTAGTCAATGAAACAATCTGTTACGGCGAGCTTTTGGCATGTTTTGCACGGAACTATGGGCAATCCACTAGTAACATCAATGCTGATTGGTTAATCAAATGTCTGACGTCCTAGGGTCAAAAGCCGCTCGTATGACCTTTGACGCGACCTATCGCTACAACCGTTCAGATCTTCATGTAGTAGGCCATCGAAAGTAAAAAAAAAACGAAACGAAAGATAGATATGTAGTTTAATCAGATTGGTTCACATCATATTTGAAAAGAATCCGTCAAAAATTGTAGCCATTATCGCGTTCACATCAATTTTTGACGGACCGACGTACAGGGTGCAGACATAATACGCCAACACTGAAAATTTATGTGGGCGTATACAAATTCTGGTATACAGAATACAGGATGCATCTATTAGTGATAGAAACAAACCACTAAACGCCGATTGTAGTCACAGCAACAGATTTATTGACCTTTTGTTTCGTTCAAAATAAGAGAGCAACACTATAGACTAATCCCTATAGCAAGCCGAAATTTGAATTGTTGGCCTTCGAAATAGCATAAATGATACTAAATTGTCAGGTATCTTGCAAACTATTGACTTTAGGCCCTATAAATATAATATTACGGACAGATAGGCGGCTAAGTGGGCAAGACGCTAGCCTGGAAGTCGCGTGTTCGATTCCTGCATTAGCCAAGAAAGTTCATCGGGATTGTCAGCTGTGCAGGACTGGTAGACTGACAAGGTCAGCTGTCTAGTCGTTCGGATGGGACGAAAAACCGAGGTCCCGTGTATACATTGGCATGCACGTAAAAGATCCCCACGTAAAAGCCCCCCCCCCCTCCCGGGCAGTTAGAATTCGATATAAGAGTAGGCCATAGTGCCGCTGCCCGGGCAAAATTTCACTCATAGCACACTGTATGGCGTATGCCCGTCTTTATTACCTCAGTCGGAGCAGAACAGCAGGACGTTAAACCCTATTTCATTTACCGACAGATAGGGAGTTGACCCTAAGGAATTTTTAAATGACATCTTTTTTATGCCCCTGTTTGGTGAATCGAGGTTAAAGGCCACGTAATCTTCGATTATTTACAGACTAGCATATTACGGTCGGATTTCATTTATTTATCTTATATTACAATAATTTAATTACACAGTACAGGTGTTGGGATAAGATGGTGGTATCCGTACAGTTCCGCATCGACATACCTTTTAATTAGAATGATCTTTTAAGTACTCAAGTTGTACGAAGAACTGTTAACCCCAGGGGCGTTATTTCATAAATTCCCGACGGTGCTCTACATAAAGATATAAATATTTTTGTTTACCTGAGAATTGGACATTATTTCTGAAAGTATTTCAAACGGGTAGGAAATGTCTAAGTCTGGTGGTGGACGATATATAACCAGGAATAATTGTACACCAAATAAAGGCACCAACACAAATGACGCTTTTAACGCTTTCCTGTTAATAAAATATAAAGTTAAACGCATTATTCACTAATTTCATACGTAGACGGTTGTAATTATCTTTTGATAACGAATAGAACAAGCGGTTACAATGCAAGGTACGCCCACATTTTGCAAGAGATGGATAGAGAACTGGTTAAAAATAAATGCAACTTTTGGTACAATCGGGGGCCATAATCCAGGAAATTATGGTCCGGTATGCACGAATATCGAAAGGCACAAAGATCTTTTGGATATAAACATATAATATTGTAAGTTTCATCAAGATCGTATAAATATTGTGACCACAACGGTTGGTATTACATGCTTTTACATTAATTGCGTACACGTATAGTAGCAGCCATTTTATCGGGCGGTTTCGGTCCGATTTTCACGAAATTCGGACTTATCATTCATTAGGGTGTTATGGTGATATATTTAAACGTTTTTTCAAATCAGAAAAAATTGTGACCCGTAGAGTTTCCACAAGCTAAAAAAAAACGCGATTTTTCGTACAATCAGGGGTAATAATCCAGGATTTTACAATCCGATATGCGTGAATATCGACAGGAACCAAGATCTTTGGGTTAGAAACATATAATTTCATCAAAGTCGGATGGCAATTATGACCTCTTTAGGTCCACAACCTTGATATTACAATATTACAACAGAGCCGCCATTTTGTCCGGCAGTTTTGGTCCGATTTTCACGACATTCGAACTCAACCGTCATCATGGCGTAAAGGTGATATATTTGAACGTTTTTTTTAAATCAGATAAAAATTGCGACCTCTAGGGAGACCACTAGCTAATCCAGAAAATTGTGGTCCGATATGCGCGAATATCGACAGGAACCGGGACCTTTGGGTTATAAAGATACATTGTAAGTTTCATCTAAATCGGATAATAATTGGGACCTCTAGAGTGTCTACACGAAGTTTCAATCCGATACATATATTTCAAGTTTCGGCAAAATCGGATAAAAATTGTGACCTGTAGAGTGTTCACAAACAAATTGCGGGCGGACGGACAGACAGTGGCGACTACATAATACGTCCACATGAAAATGTTGGTGTATAAAAATAACCTATTCAACGTAATATAGACTCTGCTCCAATAAACATTGATGTGTTGGGGTTTTCGAGGAATTGAAAATGAGCAGTCTACATGTATGGCCCATAAGTAATCCTGCATAGTTCATGTATGCATATTGCATACATTAAGTTCATATTTACCATCTTCGCATTTTGTTTGATCTAGCATAACATAATGGTTACGTTTTGCAATAGTCTGAGCAGTTTCTGTTGAATATAGGCAACTATCATTCAAAGAATTATTTGTAAAATTTGCTCAGTTATATTTATACTACCTATAATTATTTGGTTCATTAGGATGGGTCTGTAATTGGTTTAATAATATCCTTAATATCCCACACAAGAAAAACACGTTTACCTGAAACAGAAATTGATATTTACACGATAAGAATCCTACTAATGGACTGAAATTACTAATTTGTATTTAAAATCTCAAATAGAAGTCAAGGCGGATATCCGTTGGCCTCCCAAAAATGACATGGTTCAATCTAGCCATTCAAGAGAGAAAGAGAGTGAGAGAGAGAGAGAGAGAGAGAGAGAGAGAGAGAGAGAGAGAGAGTTTAACGTCCACTCGACACAAACTAGGTCATTTCGAAACTAACATATGGTACAATTTTATTCTAATAATTCGCTTGCGCGCCTGGGTCATTAGCATTAGGAGGAAACCGGATGACCCAGAGAAAACCCACGAAGTTGGACAAGCGACCCCACTCCTTGCCACGTGCAACCGGGGAATCGAAACCACGCCAGTTGACTCAATGACAGACCATTCGGAAATCCCCCCACCCCCGATCCATTTGGGTAAGACGCTGGCTCGCTAGCCTGAAGGTCGCCTGTTGAATCCCTGCATTGGCCGAGAAAGTTCAAAGGGATTTTCCGACGTGGTGCAGGATGGAAGACCTGGCAAGGACAGCTGTCTGGTCGTTCGGATGGGACGAAAAACCGAGGCCCCGTGTTTACATGCACGTAAAATACGCCTTGGCAGTTGGAATGCGATATAAGAGTAGGCTATAGTTCCGCTGCCCGGGCAAAATTGCGCTCATAGCACACTGTATGGCGTATGTCCATCTGTATTAGTATAGGAGCAGAACAGTAGGACGTTAAATTCCATTTCATTTCATTTCATTTCAGATTCCTCAATCATCGCGAATACCAATTCTCGCGCTGTCCAGCTTAAATGTCTACCTGTGATAATCGAGTTGCAAAGTTCAAGGTTCGTTCATTGTCAAGGTTTCCGTGGAGGTCGCCATGTTTGATTTGAGTGTGTTTGTATCACAACCTTGACGCTATCGTTCACGTGACTGCGTTAAGGGGGGAGGCTATCCGAAAATTTTTATTCTGAAATGTTAAAGCTAATGAATTGAAAATAGTACAAGTAGTTAGGAAATGTAATAAACAAGGGAAAACTAGCATTAAAAAAAAGTTGTTGCCACGGTAACACATTTTTTGGGAAAAAATTATGCAAAACATAGGTACACTATATCTCTATAACTAGTTAAGATATCTTCGCCAAATTTGCAGGATATTTAAACTAAAATCTACCACAGAATCAGCCAGAAAGCAATATGAATTTCATTAAAATTTCAAAAGTTATCAAAATATTTCTCCAAAGACAAAATATTATGGTGAGGCAAATGTTTTAAACACCATTTTCCAAGAAACTATAAAAATTATAGAGAAAAACTCTCTGTCTCGTTTTGGGGTTATCATTAAAGAATAAGCAGTCCGAAAATGAGACATTTATCTTTATTAGTGCCAGAGATATGGTGTACCTATGTTTTTCATACTTTTTCCCAAAAAAAAATGTTACCTGGCAACAACATTTTTTTTTTTTTTTTTAATGTTAGTTTTCCCTTGTTTATTACATTTCCTACTACTTGTGCCATCTTTAATTTACTAGCTTTAGAATTTCAGAAAGCATTTTTTGGGTAGCCTCACCCCTTAAAGGGAGATAATGTTACCTGGCAACAACATTTTTTTTTTTTTTTTAATGTTAGTTTTCCCTTGTTTATTACATTTCCTACTACTTGTGCCATCTCTAATTTACTAGCTTTAGAATTTCAGAAAGCATTTTTTGGGTAGCCTCACCCCTTAAAGGGAGATAACGTAGCTATAAGTTCGGGAATTGCAGAATAGTCTAGGAAAGTCTAGATGTTGTAAAACTCTCTCCATGGGGGTATCATCGTTTCTTATGATGGATAATCTCTCTTTGACCACAATGACAAATGGGCAGAATGAGCAGAGGACGGGTTAACTGTCTTGTCGAGAGAATATTCGGTTCTCTTGAACTAGTAGCAATGACTAAGATTGCTACTCTCGTCTCTCCCAAATCTGCTCTAGCTGAACTATCGATTGATATTAGTCTCACAGACAATAATGGGTCCTTGGATATATGATAATGAAATAAACCAATTCATAGTCATTTGGGTAAAACCGGACATATTTTATTATCCTCTAGGGATAAATCACACAATTTCATATTAAATTAAAGCAAAACATCATATCACTTTGTAAATAAGTAATTGAGACCCTAAGTACCGCCAGAATAATAGATGTATAGAAGCTTAAAGCGGGCATTAGGTAAGATTAGATAAAGAGCTGGCAGTTCTCGCAATGGTAGTTATAAATTGATAATGAAAAGAATTTGCTGAAAATTCAGTCAAATTACTTTACTCTGAGCCGAGCTATAGGCGATAAAATTAAATCTAACCTCGATTGTCATTACTATCGTTGTTACGATAATAAACAAAGTCTCGATTATCCATTGTTATGTTTATTTCATCAACCACAAAACGTATTCAAATTTACTAAATAACGGAGCAATCCAATTTCATCGAGAGTTGATTACGTTCTTAGTTAATGTCCAATTAGTAATTTATATAATATTTCAGGCCTAAAGAAAGACCTGCAATGGGTAGATTTAACTCTTGCATAATGCTTGTTTAAATTATTAGACCTAGATCCGACTAGAGATCAGACAAGGCCTCATAAATATTATGATTTGGTAAACATATATTTTCAAAGCAGACTCTGATCCTCTTTAATAGTTTACCCTGGAGACGGGAAGTAATGTTATCTGATTTTAAAACGTCTGAGAAAAATCCATGTCAAACATCCACTTAACAGTCATTGAATTAATTTGACAAGTTTTTACGACAATGGCATAATATTTTATCATTTATCGCTAATGTTACAAGGAGAGTTATTTTGAACACCCCGTTTTCATTTTATACTTGTAGCATTAACACTATAAAAGCCACTCATCATGTTTCATTTGATGCCAGACAACCACCACAGTCTGTATAATGTCAACAAGTGAAAATATTCATCACAATTATAATTTTAAATGCATCTGCTAGCCATGCTAATAAAGATGTTCGAAGTAAATCATTTCATTGTCACATTTACTACCAATTAGATAAATGTGTCTAGGTTTTGTTGTACGGATTGACATACCAACCAAAATATCTAATATTATTATACAACCTTACAATATTTTGTCGGATATAACATACAATGACGCCTATACGCATCTCGGCAAGATCTACCACTCGTTGACAGTAGACATTGTCCAGTAACCCAGGCGTCGCTGTTTGAATCTGTATCTGGGTTAGTTATATAAAACGTGGCCGTAACCATTACATTTGGGTAAGTAAATTGGTTGACATCCACAGTGTGCAATATAATAGTCAACATACCTACGTAAGTAGACCTTAAATAATAAGTGGGTGTGGCTGTCTAATGCGCGCTTTAGATCACATGATCTGTAATTGAATCAACTGGCATGATTTCAATTCCTAGATTGTACCACCTAGTGGGTTTTCTACGCCCAAGCGAATTATTGAAATAAAATTGAACATATGATAGTTCCGAAAAACCCTAATATGTGTCGAGTGGGCGCTAACCCACCCCTCTCTATCATAGATTCCAAATAAAAACACGGAGCCAAATAGATACATAATTGATGCGGTTTCGCTGACAGGGTATCAAGTCAACCCGGATACCGTAGTAAACCGCGACACCGATGATCTACGACTTGAATTATGTGGGGAGCCGTTAGTAGTTCGGGTTTCTGAACAAACTACAATTTGAGACAAAGTAGATGATTAATATTTTGACGTGTCTGGTGTTATCCAGTGAAAGTAGATTGTTAACCGATCTCCAGACAATATACCATTTAGTATCCATTAGTATTAGTCTAATACATCGGTAATAATTTAGTTTATGATCTAGTTCACTAAAAGTGTGCTATTGTTACTTAATAGAAGATCGAAATTCCTTCTCTTATGTACAATGAACTTATCGAACCCGAAAATCTAGGCAAAAAGCCTTTATCTAAATCTAAGGAAGTTAAATGTAATGTATTTTACCAATATACACAATAAATTAGGAACGTATAATATCCATTCATAATATCCAGTATTTTGTACCCAGCACCTAAAATCGAAAATAATTTTTTGTTAAAACAAGTACGATAGCACTATATAAACCAGGAACCGAGCCATTCTCCCAAGCAGAGTTGTCTTCCCTTGCAGTTCACACTAACGGCTGGGTAGCGAGACTTCTGTGAAAAATGGAACCATAGATCTGTGACTAGATCTATGATAATACTGAGCATGCCGTCAACACCATCATCTTGGAATTGTGACGTCATATCGCTGCGTCTGTATGCAAAGAACGCGCATGTCAAGTTTCATATCGATTATGCGTGGATTAGTGGACAGAAGGCCCTCGCCCCCAAGAGAAACCACAATATGTAGCGCTTGGGGATTAGTTCCTGGTCTAACAACAAAAATAAACATATTAAGAGGACTAGGTGTTCTTAGAATTAGGTTCAAATATTGATTTAGTTTCATCCAATATGTTCTTTACAAATATCCATCCTTTCCATGTCGATAGAGTAAGCAGTAAGCAGAAGTAAGAATTTGCGTTAAATTATTGGCTGTATACGCTCGTATTATAATCGATGTAGAAAGCATCCAAATAAAATCAGATCGACAATTTCATTTTTCACAATGAAAATTCTTGATAAAGCTTCAAATCATTAATCTATTCAGCTAAATGAAAATGCATAGGTACTCTAACTAGTCTTATTGCATTTTGGAAAAATATAATGTACATACTTACTCTTGATCTTGACGGTATATCCGTATCATACTGTATATTAATACAGGTAGCACTGGACTTACTGTAGATATGTAAGAAAAAACCCAACATAACGTTTAATTGGCTGAACGATTGACTGATTCGTCAGGTCAAGAGCTTCTTGTAATTGTATTATTTTTGTACAGTGTATCATGGATCAAGATAACGGGTGTATCAGTGGTCTGTATCCATAAACGTCGATAAAAGAGCATGTCAAGTACATTCAATAAAAAAAGTAAAGATATGGCCCAGCTGTCAACTTCCTGTGAGTGCAGAACTACATTCGTTGCATTTGAAAGATCAGAAGGCCTACAGGGGAAATGTAATGAATTGGGGTTTAACATCATACTTGTCTGCTCAACTCAGACTAATGAAGACAGCATCGCGGCTCCCTGGTGTGTTCATAGGAAAAGTTCGAAAGAAAACATTTGACTGCAGTAGTGACAACGTTGCTGTAACAACCACTGAAGGTGTCTTGCATCTTTCAGTATATGGCCAGTTCTGTTGTATATAACCCCGCCTCCCAACAAAATACTCAAAATTATATCACCAATCACACATTTGTAACCGTAATCAAGTAGAAAACATTAGCTACTTACCCCAACCTGCCAAATAATAACCATTAATAGATTTTGGTACTTTAAAAGCTCGAACTATAAGTCTGTGTAGATGAAAACCTTCCAGGAACATCCAGGAAAAATTAGCAGCTTGGGTATAACGGGTGAGTATATATAGTATTTTACATCCAACCTAGTAAACAAATTTAGATGGAAATGCTAGTAGTAATATGTACACAAGACAAAAACGATAAGCCCCCTCCCAACTCTATCCTATATTTTCATCTAATCCAATATTATTTATAACGAAATAAATCGGCTATGGACATAAAGGCCCGCTTTCAAGAATATGTATATCATATGGGATATCCGTGATTCTCGGTTATCCATAATATCTTGAAATATTTTTTTCTTTTTGTGGAGATATCTCGACTGTTTCTGGATTTAAAGTTCCATGGTGTCTGTTGTTATGGCTAAAGCCCTTTGGCGCGGGTCGGGTGTGGGGTTCCCAATAAGATATTGTCGAATTGGGAAGTTGACATTTCAAGCTAATACCTAAGCTGATTTTAAAGTTAGTAAACCTTAATGTTTTTCAACGAAATGAATGTCACTTCGTATTGTTCATTTAAGCATTCATATCAATTAATAGTTTATAAGAAGAGGTTGTTATAACTTTGTCTCTGAACATCAATCGCGATTCATTAAGATTCGGTTAGATATAATCACTTACTTAAAGGAGCTAAATCGCTAATATTTGGGACCTACAAATTGACAGAAATGGGTAGCAAGGTATATAATAATGTAATATGAATGTAAATAAACTGATTTACATTCAATCGTTTCCGTTTTTACTCTAATTTCAATGCAGTTATGTTTGGCGAAATACGCCAGAAGTCTCAATCGAATGTCAATCTCTAGTGTCTGTTTATTCCAGTCTACACCGATAGTATTTATTGCGCATGCTCTCCAGATAAGAATATGGGGTCACCGTTTGACATGACTTGTGGAATATGTCTAACCTCGTTCTTCCGAGTAGCTTGTTACAAATTGCGCTGAAACGCATTATGGTACACGATTCGTGTACCAATCGTAAAATGTTTATTTTGTCTTAAATATTGGTTATCAGAAGCCCATCTTTTCCCAGTAAGATCACAACACCAATGTTGATTAAAATTGACAAATTATTCGTGTTTTCATTGTCGAAGGTTTTGGATGATATTGAGTTAGAGACTTAGCTACTTTAATACATTATTATACAGACAAGCATAATCCATCGATGACCTAACTAGCCATTTTATTAAAAATAATATAAACCTGTACGATATGCCGCGACCATTCAAAGCATATATCTTTGTTTTCCTTCTATGATAAACGGATATCTAACTCAAAGGTAGAAATAAAATAAATGTCAATTCATTGAACTATATATTATGTTATCGATATATTACTTAGTAATTTGCTGGAAATGGTGTCAGCGTAATGATTATCCAGTCCTAAATGCATGAAGCCATTATGGCAATAATCCCTCCTACTCTCTGTCCCATCCGTCGATATTATATCCGGGTTAGACTTGTCTCACGTCTCTAGAAATACTGTTAAGGTTTCCTTTCATCGAATGAAATATGATCTAAGGCGGAATTTACCATAATGACTGACATTTCAAACGCATAAACACATGGTTAGATCTATTTGATAAGACCAACTTCAAGTTTAGTCAAAGGTCACGAGATGAAAACAGGGCTAGCGCTAATCCCAACCCTAACCCTGGACCTAGGCCTAACGCTTATCATAATCCTAACCTACAATCTCGCCAACAGTCACATGTACTAACCTAATTTACTTCTCAGCGACCTTGACGAAAATTGAGTTAGCCTTAATAAATAGATCTAGCCTAAAAACATTGCCCGTAATTAAACACAGAAAAGCTCATTCAATCCAGCAAGGCTTGCTTTTACATTTCCCAGAAAATGAATTAAAGAAGATGTACTAAATGTAGCTATTGTAAACGTGGTGTTCTGGGTCAAGTATTTCATTAAGCCATGTGGCTTCCGAATATCTTACCGTATTCTGATGCATCAGCGTCTCTTTAGCCAGATTATGTAACCTGTTATTGTAAACTAAATTATCCCACAGAATCACCACAATATTCCGTACAATAAATGATATAAACAAATTCAGGTGAATTCTAACTCGATGCTGTCTTCGTAGAATCCTGAAAAAAAGAATAGTATAAATATATTCATACCAAATTAAAGTTGTGTGTGTGTACACCCTTGTACATACTAGCTTACATGTTTAAAATGCTACGACGTTTGGATTTCGATGAAATATGGCCGCTGCCCGACTACAATAAATTTCCCTCCTTGTACACGTGGTCACAGAAAAAGTGGCCTCAAATGATCTATATTCCTTTCATTTTCTTTGCATCGTGGCTGATATTTAAGACGCCCTAATACTTCAAGGAGTTCACATAGCTAACAATATGTCACCACACATAACCACATTTTAATTCATGGAGGTAATCAGGAGCTTATCCATTGCTTGGTAGACAGGGTGCTTTAAAGACTATTCAAACAGTGACTGGTAGTCATGAATGAACGATGTGGAGAACTGGGGATATGTGCCAGTGATATGAAGATCGTGTCACAGTGTGACCATTCTTGCTGTGAAAGTTTGGATTCGTTGAGAGCGATTTAATCGAATTTGAGGAAGAACCGTGAGAAGACTATAACAGTAATCGCGAAGAGATAGAATAAATGATCGGACGCGAGATGCAGCAGAATTATGCTTCAGAAGATGGTGGGTGGAAATGATGTTTCTCAGGTGACAGATCATCTAATGCTTTGTAAATGTCGGACCGCTATCATCTCTACAATAAATTAATTGAATGTCGAACCCTTGTCCTTTTTATTACAGCTACGATGCTGATAAAACATTTAACTTATGAATAAATATGAAAATTTAATTGGTGAATATTTCTTGTCACAATGGTTTAATGTAATGAAATGGTGTATCTGTTTGATCAGTCATCCTGTGGACTTATGTTACTTAGTTTTATGTTTTTGCCACTCTGGGAATAATATGGACATAGAATGAGATGAAATGATACATATAAACAGACATATTAAAGCAGTACCCGTCTTTTTAGTTCTTAGGGTTTTTGATCAATAAATAACCCAGTCAATTCTTGTGTGCGATGATTTTTTTTAAAAACCTAAATGTTTGAAACTAAAAGCTTTTGGAGAAGAGCAACTAAGTACTTTTTATTTTTAAATTAGTTTTTTTCCTGAAGAAATTACAGACACAGTTGTTAAATGGTGTTCCCGGAGAACAGAAACTCAAATTGGCGTGGCCTAAGTTGTATTCCGTTTACCATTCTCTGAAATGTATTTCATTGCAATTAAAGTTATATCTTTAGTTCATTTGGTCACGGTACAAGAAGAAAAGGGTGATCTTAACCTTATACCACAAAGAGCCCAACATGTCACAAACATCTGAATAAAAATATTCATGGGGGTTAATCATATCCGATTTATTGTTTGGCCTGGTCACATAAATCTATAGGCAGTGACGTCATTTTAGTAGGCGATCACCCTGATTCGTGTCTTTTACTCATAAATATTCTTTAAAACCTGAGCGAAAAGGAAGCTCACGCACGCTTCTTCGAATTTAGACCAAAAAGTCTACAAATCATGTCAAGCAAAAGGGAGAAAGAGAGAATTGGTATTAATAGAGGCATTACATTTGTTCCATTGCCCAAATTTTAATAGACAGGGTAGTCTCGGCCACCCAGAACCCCCTATTCTCCAAGGTACGGATGGTTTGGAACAGTTGTACCCACTTGAAGAAATGTGGCTAGATAACCAAATAAACCTCCTGTCACGCTGGTCAATGAAACTTTTTACTTTTCTTTCTCGTGACGACGAATTAAGATTAAGAAAATCCATAAATATGGCCCTTAAAGAGAAAAAAATATCAATAAAAAAACTTTATTGGTGTTAGATGTTGGACACGTAATGCAAATATATTTGTCTGAAATGACATTTCTTGAAAATTATTTCATGGGCGTCGCCTTCTTGATTTGGATCTATTTATCTCCCTTCGCTCTAGTAGAAAATTCGTTTAAGTGATAAAGACTAAGACCGGGCCACTGACACTATCAAAATTATTTTACAGTTTTCTGTAAGAAGAATGCAGATATGGAGTTTTTGATTCCGTGATGAAACAAAATAACTAAAAACAGTCGATATCGCTGCGGAAAGGATGCGCGGTAGGTTAACGCACGTCATCGCCACCAGCTTTAATTGTATTTCAACTTCCCATTTCAATATATGAGTTTCTAAAAATAAAATAAAAAAAAACAAAAAAACAAACACAAATACCATACTGCCCATACGGCAATACGTAAAATTATCCAAAATGACTTATCAACGATAATATGTTCATCTGTAGGTCTAGAATTACTGATAAATGTAGTTTTATACGCGTAATTGGCTAACTCCATAAACTCTACACCATCCATCTTTTATCATTATTCTGATTAGCGTTAATTACCTGTACCAAAGAAATATGACGCAGGCTGGCAAGAGCAGGGCCAGGCTTAATACATTACCGATTACAGCTACATGGAACAATATCCTATACCCCTGAAATACAAAACGGTTAAAACCATGCATATTTGATACATTACACGAATTGCGTCCCGCTCTCAAAAGGATTTTATAAATACAAAACTTATCAGATTAAAAACAAACACATTGTAAAAAGGGAGTTATTAACTGTCTTGCAAGTCCTTTGATATTTATATATTGAAATCTCCAGTCCCCCGTCTTTTGTATTTAAGACAATAATCGGATTTCAGAGTCGCTGTTCTAGATATTTATTAAAACTCGGTTAGGCATGTTAGAGGGTTTCATTGTGTCAACCATCGCCGGTTAGAAAACTTAAAAGGGATGATTTCCTTTTGTAAGATCAGTTCAACTTGTATAATTTCTGACTTGACTTCTAAAATAAAATAAACATAGCGAAAGGAATGGACGCCATGATGCGAAATTGGAGAGGAAGATTGTAGTTAGAATTTGAAGACAGACCCAGATTTCGTAAGATTTGGTTAATATGTGCCAATAACAATTAGAGTGCCCATCCATTCATTAGTTAAGACCGCTAGCTTCAATTTGATACATATGTTTGATTTCATTTACAATATCTGACTATATTGTTATAAAGGGAAGGGGGGGGGGGGGGTAATGCGGCTAAAATGAGAACGTGCATGCATCGTGATTATTCATTATCTTGTACTGAAACGATATTTAATCCCATGTGCATATCGTTTCGCCCTTAATAAAACCCGTCAGCTCTCAGTAGTAAGTTGTGAGGGGTACGGTCAACAAAGCTCAAAAACATGGTTTCGTTTAAAAACGGCAACTGTCATATTACCCTTAATACGGATCAGTCGGTGTTTTGATTTTTGAAATAAAAGTGAAATCTGATTTGTACCTCAAGTTCTGCATTATGGCAACTGTTTTTAATACTATATAGATTATTAATTAAATAGAAAGAGTCTGCGAAGTCTCCTGGAGATTAAGCCCCCCCCCCCCCCACATACACACCCCTCGAAGTTAGCCGGGCTTTGGGATCTGATCTGCAATCGAATGTGACATGCCTATCCACATCACAGAGATTTAGTTCGCTAATATAAAGACGATCTTTAATACTAACCTCTAGATTAACACATTTTGTATAATCCGTCCATTCTAAACCTGTTTCTGGTTCCCGCCACCAGCTGGCATTATTATCACAACTCTTCTCAGCTCGACCTGCAAGAGATATACAATAAAGATATTCAATTCTAAAATATCTAAAACAACTGATGTCGGATGATACGAAAAACCGAGGTCCCATGCATACATTGGAATGCACGTAAAAGATCCCTTGGCAGTTGGAATTCGATATAAGAGTAGGCGATAGTGCCGCTGCCCGGGCAAAATTTCCCTCATAGCACACTGTATGGCGTATGCCCGTCTTCATTAGCCCAGCATAGGAGCAGAACAGTAGGACGTTAAACCCCATTTCATTTTCATTTCATTTGATGAATATTCATGATTTTGAGGCGGGTGATTAACAGAGTTAAGAGGATGGTTACGTTGAAATGAAGGGAGGATACCGGTTTTTGAGCAAGAGGATGCCACATATTAAGCGTTCAAGACGGGGCAAAGATGAAGCCGGGCAAAAAGACGAGAATTAACATTAGAGTCAATGGGAAAATCAATGGTTGAATGTGATCAATAATGGTAGTCAACTGGTCAAAACGGTAGTAATCCGATCCTTGTCAACAGAAGTGTTCGATGGGCGTTTAGTAGAAAATTAAATACGAGACTTCAGAAAGAAGATGACACAATAGAGACATGTTTCAAATATCCCTTTACTTTATTTATCTAGCTCTACATGAAATGAAATGGAGACATCTTACTTTTCTGCACCAACCGGGATAATGAAGACTGAGATAGTGGCGCTACCGCTTACTCATTGAATACACGGGGTTTCCGTCCCATCCCAACGAATGGACGCTTTTCCTTGCCCGGTTTTCCGCCCTGTAACAGTCGTGATTGATAACAATTGACAGAGATGAACTTTGAGGTTTAATTTATTTGGGTTGTTTTGTCTTTTTCCTTTTATTTCCGAACTACATATTGTTGTACTATATGACTGGAATAAAGAACTATATTGGAATTATTTTTTCTGGATGCGAAGAACACAACATAATCTGCAATATATCATTTTTGAAATTCTTAGAGATTGACTAATTCATCAAGACCAGCTTTCCATTCTTATTCTATTCATCTAAGATAATATTACAGCGGAGAAATAATAAATGAAGCCACTTTCACCCTCCTCCTTCATCCATGTCGAAATGAGGATTTGCAATAAAGTGTATTAATGATATCGTATTGTCCTTTCGGGGACACTAATTACAAATAAGTCAGATCTGGAAAAGAAAATGATGATGTTTAATTCATAAAGCAGCTAAATTTGAAGAGAAATGTCTCTTTTACATCCCGAGAATTCGTTGGGTTGGTTAATCTATTTCCTTCCACCAGTTTAATGAAATATTTCAAGGAAAAAAAACCGAATACCGTTCGCAACATGCTGCTCATTTATCAAAAAATTAGCCGTCGACATTTCGGAATCATCTTAAAATAATGTCTGATCATACATATTTAAAGATTTCATAAAAAAAGAACAGG